TCCAGTCTGATCTACATTTCTCTACACCCGAACCTCGATTCTGCAACAGTACTTCATCAAATCTACATGTCTGATTCTAGGCCTGTCTTTCATAGGATTCCCTCAGTGTGAGATTGAAATGCTGGTCCCGAGCTCCGGCTCGATCTTGCAGCAACTCAAGAGCCAGAAACTTACAATCGAAGCTTTTTGAACAAAAGTTGCCGACGCTCACCAAAAATGCAGGTTGGACTCCCGACTTCATCCCACAGATGGCGGCGAAGGGGCTTCAGGAGACTTCCTAGGCAAACCTAGACTCGAAACTCCGATTTTGCGTTTGAGGGTTTCGAATTTGACCAGCGGCATTGGGTTGAAATGCTCAAGGGTATAAGGGCCAAGGATTTAGGACGAGTGCAGGTCCAGGAATCCGGAGCAGTGCGCATTTGAGCTTTGGGCTCCGGGGTTGATTTCAGGAGACCGGCTACGATGAGTACATCCCAGTGCCGAGTGACGCAGCTATCGACATGTCCCAGGCCCTCCTGCCCGACGCACTCTTGCTGTTCAAGCGACAACAGGGAGGTTTCCAAAAGAGGGCACGTGGAGAACTTCGAGGAGGGTATGTGAAGTACTTCTACGCCTATCCCTTTACCGCAAGATTATCAATCCCTTCCAACGGTCAAAGGCCCACTTCTTAAACCTCGAGTTTCCGAGTTCCCCTTCTGTACGAAGGCACATGTGTTCAGTGACGGCCCGTGCACTTTGCATGAGCTTTGGTTTCTGTGTTCCTGTCGGTGATGCTATGAAGATCTGCTTGGCATTGGTGCATGTACCAGAAACAATGACATCCCACGACATCAACCCGCAGCCCTAAAGTTCTGTTCGTCAAAGTCTCAAGCACACTCAGCAAAAAGCACCACTAAGCTTTGCTGAATCCTGCGCGACCGAAACTTTACATCCACGACCTCTAAACCCAAAGCCCTGAGACCTAAGCCTCAAGCTCCCACACAGTCTTCCTGCACCCCAAGCTTGCTTGAAGCCCGACAACGGCCCCTTGGAAAACTCCCGTACTACAGACCGCGCTTGAATTCTTTCCTGGCCCAGGCCTTGGCAAAGACGCAGGGAATCTTGACCGGTATCTCCGGCGGCGCCTCCATGAACCTTGGACAGGTCATGCTTGGGGGTCTCGCGCTTCAGCACGAGGGTGTTATTCCTTTGGGTTCAGGTTTGCTTTGATTGTTTTGATTTTAGAGTGTTGTGGTGTCCAGGGTTTAGGGTTTGTGTCATAACGCCTTCCCGAGTTCCCGATGAAGCCAGTCGCCCTCCACCACCTTCATGTTAATGAGCTTTCCATGAATGCATTCCGTAGGTACGTAATGCAGTGCCATTTCAACGCAATGCAATAGCATGGCATCGCTTTCCGTGGAAGGTATGACATGGCATGGTATGGTAAGTCTGTACGCATGTGGGGGATTCAGTTGATGCGATAGCTGTATTGAGAGCACTCCCCGGCACGTCGTTTGTGAGCTTCCTAGCTGTGTTTCACGTCACAAAAAATGCCAACAGTCTCAGGGATCGTGCGTGCGCGCCATCCTCACAAATTTTAGTTTAATGTTCTTGGCACCTCAAAGTCGGCATCAAAGGATCTCATCATAGAGGAGGGGAAGAGGGTTTCTATCAATTACAAAAGGTTTAGGGGAGCGCCGAACCTTGATCATGGTTTGGGTTGAATACTCGGGGACTAGGCAAGGCTTCGGGGCACCTCCGTTTGTCTGAGCCCAAGTGTAAATTCCCGCAGCCCAGCGCACAAGTTCTTGAAATGCTAGGGCCCTAAAGGCCTCCAGCTTTACACGTGCGCTCCTGGGGGCCCCATGTCAGCCCAGGTATGCCGCAGTGGAGGTGGCCAAGAAAGCCCCTGAAGGGTCTGTGGTGGTCGCCATGATCCCTGACACTGGCGAGCCTGGTTCATATTTCTGTGTTTAGGTTCAGCGCGGTCTTAGCTTTAGCGCAAGTCGCAGAGGTTCCAGGTTTCGATGGGATGAAGATTCTGTTTTCCATAGGCGACTTCGGCCTCTGGGCCGATTGTAATTTGTAATGAGAACGCGAGTTGTGCCTTTTGGGTTCTGAAAGCTTCGAAGACAAAGGTTGTTTTTCTTTGGGGGGGTTCTGGGCGCAACGGTTCAGTGCTCCATGGGTCCTCAGGCAGTCTCCGGCATGTTTGTGGAGTGCAGGGTTGAAATCCGAAGCTCCAGGCTTCGTGGGGGTGAGGATATTCAGGATACGCTATTGACAGCACGGTCCCTTGGGGCAGGTCTCGGTTGCGATTTATCAGGTGCTTTGAACAGGCTGCATCCCGAATCCGACAAAGAGCGGGAAAGAGGTAAATGCCGACCCAATCCAATGGCCGTTGTCCCGGTTGCTTTGAGTGTTTGGATGGCCCAACATGTAGTCGATGTTTACCTCTGCATCATGTGGCCTGCCAAGCTTTGCTTGCAATAAAGTTGGCTTAAGCTTCAATGGCCTAACCCGACTACGCAATCGTGAAGCTCTGATTCTAGATTCGCATGCAAGAAGCCTTCAGCCCCAAACCCTGATCCTAGGCACACATGCCTTGCCTGGTCAGCGTGAGCAACAAAACCTTGATCCCTGAGCCCCTAAAGCGTGTTCGCATTCCTTTCAGCAAATCTGCACAGCACCAAGGAGAGAGCGGGGGAGAGAGAACGTTAGTGTAGGGCCGGAGTCCAAAATCATACTACCCGGTTACTACCCGTTACTTTTTCAAGAATCTGATTAGTATGCCAGCTAGCATCAGACAATCTGGAAGTATGCCTCACCTCAGCATCCGAGCGTGAGTGCCCAGCACCGAAGACCCTATTCTGATGGCTCAGGCCCGTAGAAAATGGACAGTTGTAGCGATCCCAGGTTTTGGAGGCGTTGAGAGTTACGATGGGCCGGTAGGAGTTATCAGGAAGCCCCGTCTCAGCTGGCGGCTCCCCTCCCGACTCGGCAGCCTGAGCTCAAAGACAAAGACAGCACTCCTTGCAGCCCTGGAGCCGATGACACCCTGAGCCTCGAAGCCTCGACTTCTCTCGCCCCAGGGCCTCAAAAGGGAAGCCCTGAAGTTTTCTACGCCAGGACCGCAACAATCAAACAAAACCGTGAACCCTCGTTTGGGCGGCCGAGGAACGTTATCTTTCCACCCAGCTTTTCGCCTCCATCGATGCAGAGATGAGCCTATGACGACATGGCCCGTAATCAAACTCCCGGTCCCTTTACGTGTGTATGTGTGTGTGTGTGCGCGCGCATCTTTCATAAAAGCGGTATATAGAATAGCACGGCAACTATGGCTCGGAGTGTCGGCTGGGGGAGGCCAGGTTTGCGGTTCGGGTCTTAGGGGGTTTCAGAGCTCCTGCCTTTGGGCTTCAGGAGTTACTGGTAGCACATGACATTCCTTCAGGAGGTTCCAAAAGTTGGGATCAGGAGCTTGATGCCTGGTCCCAAAACCTTGTCAATCCCCAAAACCCGTGGAGCCGAAACTCCAAAGTTCCCTCAAACTTGTTTTTTTGTGCCCCTCGGAAGGCTGAAGGTTGAAATTTAAAGGGTGTTGCGGAGCTGTGAGGCCTTTATCTTAGGGCTTGCAGGGGTATGCTAGGCTTGTCCCTGAAGGGCATGTTTCATGATTCCCCATAGCGACCTGGGCCTAAACTTCATGGAGCTCCGACTTGGTCCTGTGGCGGGCTTAGGTCGCGAGGAGTCACCAGGAGTTAAGCGGTGTCTAGAAGCTTAGCCAAGCGTGATACTGAATTTCCGAAAGCATGAACCAGAACCGTCAACCTTCTCGAGAAGCACGAAACGAAGGAACGACGAGGAGCTGGCGATCTCCAAGTCGACGCCGAACTTCCAGTTTTGAGATGCCCGCTGCGGCTGTGAGAATTCCCAGCGGTCGATCGCTACAGCAAATTGTAGATTCATAGGATGTTCTGAAGCCGGGCTCGAGTTGGGCATAACGGCTCAGCCCTCTCTGGTACCCAACTGCTGGCACATCATAGGATGCCCCTAAACCCTAAACCCTAAACCCTAAACCCTAAACCCTAAACCCTAAACCCTAAACCCTAAACCCTAAACCCTAAACCCTAACTTGGGGGGAGGGTATCGGAAACAAATTATCCCCGGTGTTTGCAACCTTGGGTCCGGTGACGCTGACGGCCTCAACCGCCTCAGCGCTTCAGAGCTCGACTGAAGGGTACTTAGAAATATATTTTTTCATGTTTGGTTATTAGAATTCCTAAGAAACAGCTAAAATTGTATTTTTCGCTAGGGTTTTAAGTTCAGTATAGTCGAAAGCTTTCACAAGCAAGGCCCGCACTTTTTAACGGGCAAGGCCCCGCAGTTCAACAGACCCATCGCGGAATGATATCTCAGATAGCTGCCGTTCGTGAAAGAGCGAAAAAAAGCTGCTGGTTTTTTTGCAGCCAAAGCCTAAAGAGGCGGGAGAGCCATAGCCAATTCCTGATTCCTTGTATCCAGAGGAACCTCTGGGCGCGTGAGGGTGGGATTTGAGGCTGCTCATGACGCCCAGGTCTCAGGCCTTAAGCCTCTAAGTTCAAACAGCAAGAGTCTAAGAGCCAGCCAGGCTTTTGCATTCTGATAGGACTATGATGCGATCCCACTTTGCTGTCGTTCGCTTCATTGAGTATCTCATCCAGCTTTTGCTGTTACATCTTCTGCTTAGTATCGTGTGGATATATCGAGACTAGCTGACTGGCTGGGTCGTTTCTGTCCCATCTGCCGCTTTGTCTTACTACACTTGCCCGCGGCATGAGAGATGATGAGCGGAGTGGGGGCTCTCTTGCTGCTGTGATCCGACGGTCATGCGCGTTTCTTCTGAATTCTCCTGCTTCAACTACCCTGCCTAAAGGCCCAGAGCATCCCCGTTATCGGTGAGTTGGCTGTTGAGTGCATGGGGTCACTTGCTTAGCAGTGCAAGCGGCCCTTCTGTTTGTGTGACACATTCCCAACACCGTCAGGCGCAGAAGCCCCACTGGTTTGTGTCCCATGCCTGGTCACTTGGCAGCCAGGAACAGCAAACCAGTGTATGAACCCCTACACACCCTCCTTAACCTTCCCAAGTCAGCTTCATCACTCGGCATTCTCCCTGCACAAAGCCTCGCAAGTGATGCAAAATATCTGAATCCTTCAGGGAGAGCTGCCATGCCTTCTTTTCATGGTTCGGGTATATATAGAACCCTAAACCCTAAACCCTATAATATATAGTGTGGGCCTACGCCGCCCGGGGGTGGTAGCCTCAAAGCTTCAAGAAAACCCACCACCCTAACCCCCAAACTCTAAAGCCCAAAGAGAGCCTTGAATCCTAAACTTCCCTTAAACCATGAATCCTAAACACAGAGCCTGCAGAATCGAGGCAAGAGCCGGTGCAAGACTTCCTCAGCTGCCTGCGTGGCCACGCCACGGTCCGACAACTGGAAGAGGCCAAGGCGGCTAAAGGGAACTCCAGAAGTTGGAATATGGATTAATGGTAGGATCCCCTATAATTTACCTTAAAGGGGTTACGATAATGATATTCCAACTTTCTGGCTTCTACTTTAAGGCGCCTAGGGTTTGGGAGGAGTTGAAATGTACCGTGCGTTTGAGGGGCCTCCCGCCGGGTTGAACTTGGGGCTGAAAAATTGAAGCTTCGATGAGTCTCGTATACGGGACATGGCAAACAAGATTGTAGAGTGCTGCACCCTCACTGGCTGTGAACCCGAGGGATTGTGTACCACACCCGCACAGTACAGCTTGTGCGCAACAAGGTGCCTTTGTCAGGGCGGTTCAGGTGGTGCAAGAAATGCGCAAGCGGTATGTGGATGGGTCACAGCTGCTTCGAAGAGTACTTCCACATGGGCTGCGCTGAGCAGGTTGCCTACTGGGTCTGCGCTTATGCCAACAACCAACACGAGCTGGGAAACGTGCCGCGGCTGCAGAGATACTTCGAGAAACAAACTGCGCATGAAGATAGCCGGGTGATATGCATTGACAACGACGCAATCTCGACCACGCAAAGGTGGGGCACGTTGGTACGATAGAACCGACAGGGGGGGGGGGGTGAAATGCAGGAGCAAGCCAGGTTTGGAGAATGTGAGTTGGTCCATTCGGGACGGTAGGGGTGCATCAAGTAGTCTTCTGAGCAACAAACTGAGTTGTCCAAGCTTGTTTGAAGGTCGTGTTCTTGAGCGGGGGGCGGGGTCCGGCAGGGCGTTCCAAAAGATGGGCATGACCCTGAACCTTCAATTTGAAGTTTGCAGTCTCGTGATGTGTGTTGCCTGTCGAAGCAAATGATTGGTTTTGTGCATCACTTTCGAAAGCACGAACCAACCAGCAAATCACAACACAGCCGCTGATGAGGGGAGCACGTCATCAAACACGGCCTCTGCAGGGGCAAAATTCTCACGGATAGGAGCCCTCGCTACCGAAACCTTCCCTTGAAGACAAGGGGCAGCGCGAACAGATGGTTTCTATTCCTGGTATGTTGCGCCTGCGGTGGAAACTTTAGTTTCTCAAACTAGCTTAACTTTCCAGCTTTCCAAGTTTTGTGCTGTTGTCTGCTTCAACCCGCCACTCATATAGGGGTGATTTAATGGTTGCACTCGTTGGGGGTGCAGCACGCCAGCTTAGTTTCGCTTTTTCGCAGTACACGCAGGATTTGAGGTTTGGGGTGATCGCACCCTCCAGGTTTCTGAGCACCAGATAAGGGATTGAGTTGTCCAAGCGTGTGCAAAGGCATGACATGTGTGGCGCTTTTTTGAGCAGGGGGGGGGGGGGGGGGGGCGGACCAAAAAAGTAGACAGACCAGTGCTGCACGACGCCTAAACTTGCAATTTGAAGAAAGCAGTGTCGTGATGGGTCTTGTACAAATTGCACTTCAGGTGGAGACTTTCGTTTACAGACCCTTCAAAGCACGAACCAACCAGCAAATCACAACACAGCTGGAACGTGCGAACGTGCTGCAACCTTTCCGATAAACTTTAGGGACAATGCACATGCAAGTCGAGACTTTGTATCGCGTGCTGAAAGTACAACAAGATTGCCAATAGTTTTGGATCGCTGCGAAGCCCAACAAGTTCATGCGGTGGTACTAGAAGCAATGACGTGAAGCTGATTCGGGGAGCTCGTCAAGCACGGTCTCGGCAGGGGAAAAGTGCTTGCATCCTGTTCAGCACATGCATCTGTTCGAAATCAACATACTGCCTGAACCGCCCCAGTGATGCAGCAAGGGGTGCAACTGGCACCTTTGCATCATACAAAATCTTGCGTTCATGTTCTGTGTCATCTTTTCTTTTTGAAAAATCTTGTCTTCTGCTTAGCGCTTTCTTTCTGGGCTGGACGTGTTTTCAAGCATGCGGGATACGCACAGACCGTGTTGCAGGGAGTGCTTCAGTTCTTTTTCCAGCATGTGTATTCGTCGTGATGCCCATAGCGATTCGACCCCTTCTGCGGACAAATGGTTAGACCATGTTTTACGTACCACTGGCAGCACATCGGTTCCAGTCAAGTCTCCAACGTTGGAGTGCGTTCCAAACCATTATGGAGCATGCAAGATCCCATGTCTCATGTGTGTTTTGCAAGTTTGAACTTGTGAGTTGTTTCAAACTTTGTGTGCCGCTGCTGGTTTCAACCCGCTTTGCTCAGATCCCACGTTTCGGAATTGAGGCTTGGCAAGTTCGTGCTTAGGGGTGAATGAAAGATTGTGCCCTTTGTAGGGGTGAAGCACAACGCAAGATTGTAGGTTGGGGGTGACCTTTCTCACGATTTGGGCCTTGTGGGTTGCATAAACAGACAAAGAATAGCTGATTTCACACAAGACGCCCACCAGCAACGTCCAACAATGACATTGTTTTCAATGGATGGGTTTTTCCCTACGGCCCGTTAAGGGATCTAACTTAAGTAACCGTAATAGGGATCTATAGTGAATAATAAGGTTTCCGCGTATGATGGTAACTTACACTAAATCCCGTAACAAGAACCCAGTTTACAGTCCTTTGCCGAGGACCTTCGGTTTAACCCCCGGGAGACCTCCTTCTTCCGTGCAATGCAACTCTGCGGCGGCGTCCTGCTGGTGCTGGACTTGGGACTTACGCAAACTGCAAGATCACATGATGTGCAAAACTACTAACTACGATCATATATCATAGCATATATATATATATGTACATAAATATTTTACATATTTATGTTGACTTGTAAAATCGCAATCAGCGTTGTTTGTGAACAGTGTTCACTGCTTACAACAGACTTAGGGCCTGGGCTCTTTTGCCGTTCGGGCTTCAGGCTGCAGAGGTCGATGTCGATGGGTGTTGCGATCATAGTTGTTTTTCTTGCTTGCCTTCAGGGTTCAAGGTTGATGGTGGTCTTTGTCCAAGGTTGTGTGGCGTGTTCGGTTCGTTTGTTCTTATAAGACATGTCGCAGGGAAGCCTCAAGAAGACGGATCTTGTACGAAACCCTCTTCCCTAAGTACGGCGTTTTTTAGGGCTTAACTCTAAGCCCGCTTCCCTTGCGGCCGCGAGGACCCGCTTGCCACGCCGTTCGCGCGTGTTTGGTGCTGCTTTGAGCTCGCCATGGCCCTGACGGACCAGAGCATTGGGTTTGGAGTTTAGGGATCAACGGTAAAGTTTCGGGGTCAGGGGCCACGAGTTCGTGTTTGTTGTTGGTTGTTGACTGGCTGAAACCGCGAAAAGCCCTCGAAACCGCAGATCCTTGATCTAATCCTTACGGACTTCTCCCAAAAGTATTGCAAAGCCCACAGCCCCGGATCAACAAGAAGTGGCCTCATTCGACACCAACTGTCCGACGTACTCCAAGACAACAGTCCCAACCCAAAGCCCGAAAAACAGCAATCCTGAACGGTACTCAACAAAGTCCTCGGTACTGCAATGCACCTTGCTCAACAAAGCCCCAAGTCCTTCAGACCCACGGTCTCAACCGTCGAACCTGACCCTGAACCCTGATGCCGCAAAAAAACCCAAAACGCCCTAAGCCGCAAAAACCTTTGAATCCGAGGCTCTCTTAAGCCTCAGAAAAACTCCAGCGAGTCGGTTCAGGACCTGGTGGCGCCCCAGGGTCGATTCTTGCTGGACATTGCCACGGTTAGCCCCCCGGCCTTAAAGGTGTTTGGTACGTGGATTCTGGATGTCAGGCTTTGGGTGTCTACCAATCCTGGCAGGAGGCTTGGCCTGGCGGGTTCACAGGCTTGGCTCAAGGCTGGAACGTAGCGCTTGGTTGGTTTGCCTTCAAGTCCGGTCCCTCGCGCCATGCTTCATGTTGTCCACGTGTCTCCCTTACGCCCTAACTTGCTGCAAATCCATGTGGGCTCCTTAGAGCAGAGTTGAACTGGAAAAGGCCGGTAGTTGAAAGGTCAGGGAGCTGCTGAGCTTCTGACAGATGGTATGGTGCCGAGTGAACTGCACAACGAGACCCTTGGCGAGTCAGAGGGCTACAGGGCTTTCTACCAAGAGGTTGTTGCAAGTCTCGGAGGTTCAGAGATTCGGCTTCTGTTGCCTTTTTGTGCTGTTCTTGGGTGTTGGTGCATGCTGAACTTGCTGGCGTGCTGAACCAACCAGGAGCAGGTGAGCAGCAGCTTCATGTTGATTTTGATTTCCTAGACCTTCAACCAGCTCGAATTCACCTTGAGCTGGTTTCTGCCCTTACGCTTCTGCTTGCGCATGTTCCTAGAGCCCAGGAGCTTAAGTCAAGCTACCTTTGTGCAGACTCGGGGTATTGACCAGAGCCCGACCAATTTGGATATGGAGGTTGCCTTGGCCCCTTTTGACTTGGACGAATAACCCCAGGTCCCCGAAAAACCTCCACCTCAGCCTTTGCTTCGCTCCAAAATCAACAGCCATAGTATCCCCTTGTAATCACCATTCCACTGCAGTAGACAGTACTCCGAAACTCTGTTTTGAAGGTTTAGCAAGGTTCTTATATTAACCCAACTCTCCGTGGCATTCGCTGCAGCGCCGCCACTCGAAGTCCTTGTCATCGGGTGTCCGGGATTTCGAACCGCCACAAGAACTGAAAAGAAGTCAAGTTGCCTCAGCCACGTGTAGTAGGACTAAGAGTCTTCTACCAGCAGCAGTGGCAATTGCGTTTTTCACTGGGTAATTTTCTGTTGTCATGCCCGTGCTGACTGTCACGTCTGCTGCTGAATCACTGCTGAGGCACTGCGTTTGTGCCGGGGCTGGTGGTAAGGATGCTCGGCAAAACTTCGCGGCTCCATCAATACAGTGTCGGAGTATCGGGTTTCCAGAATTTCGCTGCGAGTTGTCTGTGTGTGTGTGTGTGTACGCGTGTCCTTTCGAGCGCCAAGAGCCTCAGTTGCATTGTTTCCGAGTTGATTGTCAGTTTCAGGAACCTCAACCTATGCAAACTTCCTTAAGACAACCGGGAGCTGTACGTGTCGAGGATTATGAGATTTCCAAAAGTTGGAGGGGAGGTGGCCGTAGATTTGGCGACTCAAGGTCCCATCATGTCCTATCCGGGCCCATTTCCTCTTTATGGATGCCAGGAGGAGCAGAGTTCTCAAGCCTTCAAAACCTAAAGCTTTTGCATACGAACAAGACGCTTCCTCCAATCTTCGCCTCAAGCCTGTCAGACCGGAAGGTCAACAGCCGTTGACAAGCATCGCCTTTCAAGCAGCGTTTAACAGACGATGTCCGCAGTTTCAAAAGCCTTGGAGCCATGAGCTGTCTATGGGTACCCTAGCTCCCTATGACTTCGAAGAAGATGGGGCTTTCCTTTGTGGCCAAGGCAAAAGCCAAGCGAGAGGAGACCTTCCCCATTGAGCCCCCATGTCTTGACTTGAGTGCCATAAATAGATAACTACATGATGTCTTCATGGACGCATGCAGATGTAGCAGCGCTTACGCAGTCGTTCGCGTGAAGATCTCTTGTGCCTACCATAAGTCATTGCGAGATCTTTGTTGACAAGAGAACGACAGGAGTATGTTTTGCCGTTCTATCGGCGTCGTCAGCCAGCTCAGTGTACTTTCATGTTTTTGTGCTTATGGTTGTTTTTTCTTTACGTGCGATCGTCGGCTTGGGCCTCATAGGGTCTGTGGGCTGCAGGATGTGCGAAAACCATGTCCAGCGTGGTGCATGTGGTGCATTGCCCTTGAAGCGCAGTGGAGTTATTGCAGTTTCTACTCTGTGTGTTGTTTCTGGGGTTTCCAAAGGCTTCGGGTCACGTTCGAGAATTCGCACACATACAGGGCTTGCAGGGCGTGGGAATGCATTGGTTCTACTATGATTCAGTTGTTTCCATACCAACAAACCATCACCGCGCGGTCCCTTGACCCCACGCCCCTCTGGAATAGCAAAACCTTGTTCCCAGCCACGATGTGTAAGTGCATGTTTCCGTGTGGTTGGGCGCCTGGTGAATCAACGGTTATGATGGCGGATGATTAATAGTATATGAGTCTAAGAGTACTTGTGTTTCTGCTGTTCAATCAAAATCGGTGGATGACATAGAGTCCCAGTAGCCCGTCCAATTCCTTCGCACATAAGCAGTTTATGGCATCGGAGATACGGATTCTCAGGCTAATCCAGCGAGCACTGGAGATCGACATCGTCGCTGCTAGTGCCTCCAGGGAGGCGGGGTGTTTCCGAAACTAGCCAGTACCGCTGCCACGACCAGAGCTGGATAGTTACGTATTGTCTATCACGTTCAACGGATGCTTCCTGGGGCAGGGTTATTGCGACCATGTCTCTCTCTCTCTCTCTCTCGCGCGCACTCCCACTGCGTGTTTGGATCCTTTTCTTTGTGCTGCTTTTAAAAAGTGGAAGAGGGGGTTAGGGTTTGGAGTGCCCGAGGTGGACAAGCTCCGCATCCTCAACAGCCTTCGGGCACGCATTGGTGCTGACAGCTTACACTTCGGATCGGACTTTCGAACTTGAACTTGATTCGGGCAGTCGGTAGTCAGTTAAGGTGTTCGGGGTTAGCAGAGCTCGCATCGACGCGGAGGTTGGGCTCGAAAGACTGAACTCGCTTCCCCAAGACTCTATGTTTTCCTGCACGGAAGTTGAAGCAGTCTCAACGTCTGTGTGCAGCGAAGATCCTCCCCAGAAAGTATGCAAGGATTATGTACACATTTCGGTTTTGGGCAGTGGTTGAAGACAGTTTCAAGCCAGTAGGTCTTGCTGCTGAGGCTCTCAAATAAAGAAGAAACGGGTACATTACATGACAGCACTCGCTTACGGCATTGTCCAAGACTTTCCGAAAGAAGTTCTCACCTGGTGGCTAAAGCTGTCGATTTCGGATTTCGGCGTCAGGAGCCCTGGCGCACTGTAGACAAAATCAGCAAAGCGGCTAAAGGCCGTTGGCACGCCACCAGCAAAGCTCCAAGCCTCACCCTGTCCCAGAACCACTACTGCACCTCCCGCTGGGTCAACGTCACCTGAATCGGAAGACTTAGTGTTTCATGAAGCTGGCCCTCTAGTGTCTTGTCAACAGTTATGTCGTGTAAGGCATTCTGTGGCGTAGACCCAAGCAATTCATTGCAAGCATCCCAGGCATTGGTGGCCTTCCGGAGGAGGAGCTCGACACGAATCTGCCCGAACCACTGCCGGAGCGCTGCTTTCTGATTTTTGTAAAACTTTGCTTCGGGGGTTAGAGACATAATGGGGTTTAGGGCTTGCCGAGCATGTCGACTCGAATCAAGGAGCTTGTGGACTACGGTTTTGCTGCTTCCGCGCACGGGGGCATTTGGGCGATAAACCCAGAGCCTGTTTAACGCTCAGAAAGCATTGGGAGCCCTAGTTGTGACGACTGCTTTGTTCAAAGCAATGTTTCTGGAATGAGCATAAATGAGAACCAAAAGCCCAAATGCCTGGGAGGAGGAGCGCAAGGAGAGTTATCAAAGAGTAAACCGGTCGTTGCGCTCCATTTTCGCGCTGGCGAGCGTGAGCCAGGCAGGGAATGCCGGGCTGCATAAGTTTTCCGGAGTCAGGGGTTGGCGTTGTTCGCACCTTTGCTTGCGCAAGCCTCGAAGCTCTAAGCCGTAAATGCAGAACCCTTGGCCCAGAGCCCCAGCTCCATCTTAGCTACAGATCCAAGCGCTGTTGGCAGAGGTGGTGTCCAAAGACCTCAAGCAGCTGATGCCAGCCATTTGCCACACGGCTCCGAGGTTTTTTCGCATGTTCCCCCTATCCGGTTTTCTGAATGGGATGAAACCTCCTGCGTACATCCTGCAGAAGAGATTCTGACCAGTGTCGTGGTTTCTTCACGTTTGACCTCACTGCAGGCCGCTGGCTTTGAAATCTACAAAGGCTAAGGTTCTCAAAGCGTTTCGGCTTAGGGCGTTCCTCTTCGCCAGCAGGGGCTTCAGCTTCAAGGTTCCTGGGTGTTGACCGTGAAGCCCATACCTGCAGCCCTGAGGGTTGAAACGAGCTCCTTCATGAAGCCTTTGCCGCAGATAAAAACTTTTTGAAAAGTTTTTTCTTTGAAACGAAGGGCGGGCAAAAGACGCATGTTTTGATGTCGCGAAGCTCCTCAAAGCCCTGAGAAACCCAGGTCCTCCGACATGGAAACCTGAAAACATCTTCGAGTCCATGAGTCTGATGCCTGCAAGGTCAGGCATTGCAAGAGGACTCCTCCCGGAGCGGCTTGGACCTTTTATGGCTTTCGGTTTGATGGGATTGAGCCCGGGGTGAAACTGAGGTTTCTCTTAGTTTCAGCGCTTTTCTCGGATGACAAGCGCTGCCTACCAAGTTGTACGCTTGATACGTAATTGTTGGTGTTCTTTTTAGCCTTGTTCTTCCTCGTTAGGTATTCTGGTATCATTGCGACTCCCGTGCAGTGTGATTCATGCTAGTGTGTTATAGCTACCTACCGTTGCTACCGTGATCAATCGCAAGAGCGACCTTTTGTTTCTGTTAAAGTGTTCATCGTCGCGGCCACTCCGTCCGTTGAAACCAGCTTGCAGGTTGTGGTGAGCTTTAGCCGTTCAGAGCCTGGATTAAAGCATGCAAAGCCCGCACGCCGAAAGCTGCTTGCACTCTCAAGCCCAGCCCCTGTGCAGCTGCGTGCTTCGGATGCATTGTAACTAGACCCCCAAACCCGGTTTTCAGCCAAGCCTCATCATCATTGGCAGAGGAAGTGTCCACCTCTCGTTTGCCAACAGCCTCAAGTTCAAGGACCAGCGTCCTGTCCAGGGTGAAAGCAATTGATTTTTGCGTTCTGGGTTTTGGGGTTCAGGTTTGTGAGTGCCGCTGCAGCTGTCCTTCCACAAGCCTTAACACCAGCCATCCCGCAGAACCGAAGCATCTGCCCCTCTTTCTTCCTTTTCAAGGACGCGGACTTGCTGTGCATCGCCCGAACCTTGGCTTGGTAGTTTGAGCCTTTTGGTCAGATTTGGCATGCATGGGCGAGCTCGTCACAGGCTCGTTGGCCTTCAGGTTTTGCTGATTTGGGCTTTGCTCAGGCTTGAGTCTTGTGGGCGTGTAGAAGGAAAGTTCTCCGAGTTTTTCGTTTGACGCTTGCTTGAAGACCAGTAGCCACTCCTTCGCCAGCAGGACAGCAATGTTGCGATTAAGGCGTTGCTAGGGAGTCCGAAATTGTTTCCACTTTCGGATTATTCGACTATTGTGTACTTGAACCCTCAATCGGTTCATAACCTCAACTGCCCATACGTCGCCCATGGGGGGAATACGAGAAGATAGTCGCTGGTGCTGCGGGTCGCCAAATATGCACGTCCCACGTAGAGAATTCCTCCGTGCGCGTTCACGGCCCCTTGCACTGTTTGCTGAAACATGACCTTATGGCATTAACCTTCGGCTGCCTCAACGCCACTTTCGCGACAAGGAAGAAGGTTTTCCCGACACCGAATTTGTCGGAGTGAGGCCCGGTCGAGTCTCCGAAGCCTTGGCTTGGAACCCACTGGCCCACTGCATCTGATCAACGCAAACAAGCCCGAGCCTTGGAACAGAGAGCTGAGGAGCATTGCCACCGAATTTGACCGACCTCCTGCGATTGGATCTTCGATCCTGTCGGGGACTAAGTCTTGAGCCAGGGCATTGCGGTTCTCAACCCACGGCCAAAGCGTCCACCCACCACAACACAACAAGGTCAAAGCTTGAAGCAATGGATCTCTAGCACATGCGCGACCTCGACGTGGTGGTGCATCTCCAAACATTCCTGGTGTTAGACATGCTGTCCTCAGCCCCCAAGCCTCAAAGCACAATCCGATGAAAATCCCAAAGTTTTGAGAGCCTAAGCACTACGGTAGACTTAAAGCCCCGGACATCCACAATCGTCCGTTTGAAACTCTCCAACAGCTTGCGACAGTCCTTCCAATCAATGTGGGTCTCTTTCCGGTGTAATCAAAACAGCACGCCGCATGCATGCAGGCATCTAAAATGTATGTGTCGATATACATTCTCGCATTTGGGGTGTATTGTCCAATTCGTGCGCGGCCCTTTGGCATGCATCTAAATAAGGGATCCCTGCGCAGAAATCTGGACACGTACCAGTATGCGCTAAGGCTGAAAATCACATGTTCGAGGATTTAACTGGCGCCTAAGGCACAAAAGCCATCCCCGAGCACAAGCAAAATCAAACTAAAACAGAGCCAACTTTTAAAGCTGAAGCCAGGCACGCGCGAGCACTTGGAGCAAACAATAACTTCAATAATTTCAGCCTGAGCCTATCCCTCAAGGGGGAAGGTGAGGCAAACTGCAAACTGTACAACCCACACAGCTGACATTCAAACGCAGCTGTGCCCATCCATCACTACCATGTGCAGTGACTGCGTATACACATGGAGTTGAAGCTGCTAGGTATTCCGGAACTAACAATCCTAGCAAAGTCCTACACGTCAAAGTCCTATGTACTCAGTACTCAGCTTTCAGACTCAACCGATGAGCTCCTGCCCAAAGACTGATCACGAGGGTCATGAAAAGCTACGCAACGATCGTGTCAAATAGTGCTGCTGCAGGGGCCGCAGGAGCCGTGGCCTAGTGGCAAAGCCGTCGCCCCGAGATGCCCCGAGAACCTTGAAGCCGGTGTCGCAGCCGGGAGGGGCCTCGCAGAACTGGCTGTAAGTGGGGCACCGGAGGCCGGAAACGCAGAACTTCACACCTGCCAGCCCAATCAGTGGCAGATTTGGAAACTGGAACTTCAGCCGGGTCTGCCTGCAGCTGGCCAGATATGCGCCTAGGCCACACGTGGACACCACCGAGATGACTTCTGGTCCAATAACTCGAAGTAAGCCAACGTTCTCACGGTGGATTTGAGTCCACGTGCAGTCAGGTCTTGCATCAGATTCTTCGCAAGCTCCTTTGCATTGTCACTCGCACTGCGGTGTTGCACCGTAATGGAATCCAGGAACCGGGCCCTGGTGTCTTGCTGGCAAAGCCCCATGGACGTGAGCTCTTCACCGACAGACTTCAGCCGTTCTAGGGCATGTTGACCCAGAGGATTGTGCGGGATGAGGAAGATGTGACGGGCGTTCTGCAACGGCTCATCGGCGCCGAGATACAAGCAGTGCAAGAAGATCACGATTTTCGTCCATCTGTCACCATTCATTTGCAGCAGTAGTGTGGTGCCAGAAAACTTGTGGAAGCCAGTGCCATAGGCCATGGCTGCGGTTCTGGGGCTCTACGATCTTCCCCCAGCTGTCGGGGGCAATTCGGGCCTTTGTAGATATGCATATATAAATATACACACCTGATATCTATCTACCCATTTACTTATGTACACACTGATACGTTATGTGTGGAAGCTGTACGCACGTAGACGTATCGAGGCCACGGCCTCAGCGACGCCTCGATTTTGGAGCTGGCCGGGGCCATCGGGCGCCTCCGGGAGCTCCGGGTGGCGTGGGCCAAATTATATTATAGTATAGTATATAGGGTATTTGGGAGTTTCCGAAAATAGGGGACCCTAGTATAGTACCCCGGGCAGTAGGATCCTTATTATACGGCCCCAAAATACGGTACCCCTAATTTCGGAAACTCCCATACAGTATTTTTTGGTTATAGTGTATATGATTATGTGCATATATACAACAACGAATATTTTCAGTATATTATATCTGCTGCATAAACTTATAGTATAGAAAGTATTTTGCTATATTTGTTGCGGACTTCTTGGCTGAAGGATTAGAGTTTAAGTTTTTTTGAGTTGTCCGTTTATTGTTCCGGGTTCGGGGTTTAGGCCAAGTCTCCGTTTTTTGTTGGACTCGCGTAGGCGTCTAGAGAGATTGAGGTTGGCAGGATTTGTTTTCAGGGCTTGGGCTATTACTGTTGAGTTCTGCGGTCCTTCAAAAGCTTTGTAAAAGTCCTGTATGAGGCTTCTGCAGGATTTGAGAGGCTTTCAGGGGGGGTGTGGCAGTCGGGAGTTTCTACTAGAACCGTCCCACTATCATGGAGGTTTCAGGAGGCTGGTATGGCTGCGGCTGCTAGACTCCGGGTGTAGTTTTGCGGATGTGTGTTGCGAAGTCTGCGGAATTCGGCGGGTTGGGTTTGTTGTGTTGTTGCACAGGTCGCGATTGTGCTGAACCGTGGAGGTCAGGCCTAAGAGGCCAAGAGTTTGCATGTGCTTGTGTGTGTGTGTGTGACTAGCTATTCAATAAAACATGGAAGAATGCCTTGCACCCTTGGGCACAAGCCAGTCTGACGGGGTTGGGGCCTAGGATCAATCTTGAATACAGCCGCTCCCATCCTCTGTTCGGTCGTTGGTAGCCAGCTTTTCCGGAACATCTCCCTGGAAGAAGTCAGGCTCTCTTCCTGGACTTCTACATGTGCGTCTCCTGGACCTGAAGATCCCAGGTGTGTTGGAACGGGGCTCTGGTAGCAATGCTCGTCATGGCAAGCAATTTAAAGAAGGAACGTTGTGGTCACTGTTTCAGACAAATTTGATGATTCTTTCGGAAAATGACCACAGAGGTTCGTTTGACCGACTCCTCTCTCCATGAGATCTTCGCCGTCATGCGCGCCGGCCCGCAAGATTTGCTTCGGTCTTCTATTTCGTAGGTTTGGGAGAACAGGCAAGAGGTCTGAATTGTGGCGGTACCGTTCTTAAGCCTGTGACGGCATTCAACAGGGGGCACTACTGCAATCAGAACATTTCGGTCGAATAAACCATGCCAAGGGGTTCGGGGACGTTCGAGCATGAAGTCTTGTGAACCTTGGTCTGTTAAGATTGAAGTACTGGGGGTAGACATTTCGTGAGGAGGCGGGTGTTATCTACAATACATCGAGCCGCCACAATGATGGCCTTGCATGGTAGTAAGCAGGGTGTTTAGTTCATGCGCAATATCTTCTCTTGCGTTCACAAGACCTTCTGCCTTTTGCTGATGTTGCGCCGGGTTTCGGCTTTCAGGTTGAGGGTAAAGCAAAGGTTGAGGGATGGCTACTCGGCTAGTTTACCTGTGTGTTGCTCGGAGTGCTTGCAAGCATAGAACATCAAGGCCACAGAGGTGGACAGAAAGCTTGGGCTTCCAAAGGTTTCCTGAACATCCAAAGGCCTTAAAAAATTTAAGGGAGTTGCAGGCCAAGCCAAGTATGATCCTGCGCTAGCAGAGCCGTCATGAAGATCAGCTGAAACCCGGAACCCGAAACTGGGCCCCCAACTGCGAGGAATTCCGGTCCCACTGTAGATCCCTTATAGACCCCATAAAGGAGCCCTTTAAAGGAACCCTATTCAAAATATTAAGGCCCCCAGAGCTTCCGCCCCTCCCAGAGCCTTCAGCAGTTCCTCTTCCGAGGCAAGGCCTCGAGGAGATGCGAGAGCTGGACCTGAACCTCCGGGGCCTCGTCAAGGCCGGGACTCAGAAGTAAAGGCCGAAGCAAGCTGAGACTGGTTCTGGGGGTTGAGGGGGGGGGGGGGTAGGGCGGTTTGGGTGGTTTTGGGGTTCAGGGTTGAGGTAAAGGGTCTGTCTCCCAACTTCCGCACTTGAGGCATTGACGTGTGCCCCATGCGCCTCACCGTGACCTTGAGCAAAGGATTGCAGAGAAGTGGCCCTCCGTCGTGGCACAGCCGGAGTGACACTCCGAATCGTGACCTTACCCCCCCCCGCTGTCCTCCTCTACTTTCGATCTTCAGTTCGGGCCTCGACATCTTTTGCATGTCCTAGCCTTGGGTGCGAGACTGAGACTTCTAAAGCTCCCAGCCGACCGACTTGCGGGATAAGACGGGCGCCGAAGGCGTCATGAAGCCTCTGGTCGTTCAGAGTGGCTCCGTGGTGCAGAGCAACTCTCTCGAGGCAGAGGCCGCCCCTGAGTCGGAGGAGCTCTTCAGAAGAGAAGCTCCAGAGTCTCTTCAAGACCCTTGAGGTTGCGCCTCCGTCCGCAGCCACGGAAGAGGAATTGATCGATACCCTGGTGGAGAGCTTCCGCAAGCTTGGGAATCTTGCCACCAGTGCATCGCCGTCGCCTCCAAAAGCCACCTGCGCTGAGCGCTACGAGCTTTCAGTCGAGACTGTTGGGGATGGCAGCTGCCTGATGTATCGCACGATCACGGCAGAAGCGGCTGTTGCAGACATCCTTAAAGCAGTCCGACCGGTTGCGGATGATCACATAGGGGCTGGACAGTACGCCTTGGGCTTTGCTGTCCATGTCATGCCAAAGGAAGATGCGCCGTCTCTGCCGCCAACGATGCCAGCCATCCCGCCCGTGTCCTCACACGCCTCCGACTTCGTAGACGAGGCAGGATAGGCCCTTGTAGGAGACAGGCGTGGCCAGGAAAAGCTGCCACTTCGAAAGATCTATACATGCCGCCCCCATTTGGGCAAGTGCCCAGCGGTAGAGGCCGAAGGTGAGGATTCGGATTCTGCTGTAGCTATGCCGGGCGGCAGGAGGAAAGGAGGCATGCAAGCTCGAGACGGCATTGGCGAGTGACATACTCCATGGGTAAAAGGAGGGACCCTTTATTAGGAACTCTGGGTATATACCCTGTTTTCCCATTAGTAGGGTCGGGATCCCCATTAAGGGTCCCTCCTTTCCCCCGTTGACATACCATCAGACTGGCGGCCGCCGAACTGCCCAACATCCTTCCCGAGCGCAAACTTGGCATGCGCTCGGTTGGCCGTTTGACTCGCGGTGCGCTGTACCCAATGTCAGCAGCTCTGGGACGCTCGTTGCGGTGCTTGATCATCAAACCATCAAGCACAAAATCGTAGCGCAGTATCTGGCCCTGCTTGACCTTGAGAAGTTTGTGCAGCTGTTTCAGGCAATTGCCGCAAGGAGTCAAGAATTTTCCTGTTGCAAGTGTGTTGGCCTTGGGCGTTGTGTTGTTGCCTTCTGAGTTTAAGGCTTCAGCTGCGAACGTGGCCGCAGCCGGGAGCCTTAAGCCCTTTCCAGGAAAGCCGAACACAACAGAAGCGACGAGGCTTGAAGCCTCAACGACTCCTCGCTCCAGGGAGTGCGAGATGCTAGAAACCGCTGAAGACACAAACCACCACCTTGCTGTAAGGAATGGACAGAGACACGAAACCCAGCACCTTCACTGACAGATGACAGCCCTGACCAAACACGCACCGAGGCAGCTAGAACATGGAAGCGATGTCCGAAAAAAGATTCATAGGATCGCCCCCACCCGCTCTACAACCCATCATGAGGTGAGCTGCGGCGTCCTCGCTCCGCTGACCGCAGCCCTGAAAACGATGCCTTCACTGCGGAAGCTGCATCTGACCCCCGGGCCCAAGCAGTTGTGGTCGATGTAGTGCGTGCTGAAGCTTGAGGGTGTTTTTGCTGTTGAGGTTCCGGCTGACTTGCGTAGCGCAGCAAAAACGTCACAACTTCAAGCGTTACACCCCAACCACATACTCAAATTCCGGGCTCCAAGGAACTTGACGCAGACTCGCCAAACGGCAAAAGCTGCCGAACAGCTGACCCAAACGCTGGAGCAGCCACTTGGACATCTTGCAGTCAAGGTCACGGGCGTTGTGTTCATCAAAGCAATAGCATCGGCAAGCTTTTCTTGATATGATGCTTCGTTTTGTGCCGAAGCTGATTGCCATCACCATAGAGGAATTGGAAGAAGTATGTTTTGGCTAAGCGGCTTCCGTAACCACCTTACATGTGGCGTAGCGTAAGCTACAACCCACAATTGGATCTCTCACACCCGGTGGCTTGTGAGTGTGCAATTTAGATTCTGGGTCCAGCAGTTCAAGCAGGAGCTCTGGGCAAAAAGCAACCCTCAAGGCTGGCACAGCTGCAGATCTTGAAGCTCTACTTCACAGACTGCCCCTGGGCCGCCTTAGTGTTGGTAATCGAGACCTGAAAACCGCTCCAATTACAGGGCTCGCAGGCCTTCAAAGCAAGGCAGACCATGAAACAGAAGAGATCAGTCCTTGCATCACGCACTCGTGTATCTGATCAAGTTTTCTCGAGCAATGTTTTTCAAGTTGGGTTCACGGTCCGGCTCCGGAGTGGGGGAAGGCCTCTCAGTGCCCCAACATAAACTCGGAGAGGCCGAGCTGAGCTTTTTCCTGCCCGGGTAGAAGTAGACGGAAATCTGTGCTCCTGCTTGTGATTCTGGTTCGTCCTTTGTTTCAGCTCGACGCTGATGGATACAGCTATTGCCGTGTGTTGCCCGGGTCTTAGTTGAAGGCTATCGATTCTTCCTGTTTGAAACCGCCGGTGATGTGTTTGGGGGTGCTTTTCCTAGGCTAAGTCAGGGCTTCTCACAAAGCTTGGGAGTCGCAGGCCGGAGCTTTGGCTTCCCCTTGGCTACAACCCCCGGAACCATACCTGCATACACAACGTGTGAACCGAGACCGCATTGAGTCAGACACCCCTTGCCCAACAAGCGCGTGTCCAAAATCCAATGCTTGTGGATGCACAGTTATTTTACTATGTTGAATACTAAAGCCACGTCATAACCAAGACGCTGTTTTGCTAACTGCGCCGCACACCCACTAACCACGACTCGTTTTTGTCTTACACATGACATCGCCCATTGCCCTGCTGGCACTGCTGCTCGAGCGTGTTGTAGTTCCTTTTTGGGATTACCTTATAGGATTCTACATATGACCCCAAAAAAGAACTACTGTGGGTTCTGTGCTCATCTCGTTCGTTGCTGGAGCGCTGCGAACTGATAAGCCAATAATTTCCAAGTGTACATGCACTTCACCAATGTAATGCTCCTCCGCTGCCCCTTGGGTGCATGGAACCAGCGCATGTGCTGACGCTGGAGCACACAGGCTTGGCTTCTGCTTAGAAGGGTTTAGGGTTTAGGGTGAGGTGTGGAGTTGGTGAGTCAGCTCTGCACCGCTTATTTCATTGTCGCACCTCGCCATGTGAGCTTTTGGACCAGGATCTCGAGGGTAAACGTCGCACAAGAATGTGCTAGCTGTTTGGCGGTGTCGTCGCTTGCACGCTTCATTTCATGCAAGCGGCTCTGAATAGCTGCTAAGGAGCTGACTTTGCGGATCGGGGCGCACCAGGCCCCCCTCATGCTGCCATCTGGCATCGTCTTGGGCGTCTCTTGCTTGTGTGCCAGCTGAATGTTCTCACCGCTTGTTCAGAAGGCCAGCTGGTTTACGGATTTGGATATGCGATTGTGGCAGCCGTGCTGCAGTCAAGTCAGCTCGGTTGCCGTCTTTCGTGTTGGAAGCCTGAGGGGCATGACATGAGCGCCGGGAGGTCCTTGCAGATCTCGTGCAGAAGAAGCTTGTGATCGAAAAGAAAAAGAAAAAATCCTTCGTGTATTTCCCGCACGACATGGTTCCTGACGAGCCAGAAGCCCCGGAGGACAAATGATCGCACATTTCCTCATGCAATTCACTTTCTGGACTCGGATGCTGCCTGCTGTCGGAGGAGCTCCCGGAACGAGAGGCTGAAGCTTCGGAGAAAGAGGATGACGCCAGGCCAGGTCTGGCATTTGGTCGTCTTCGTTTTACGTGTCCTCTTGAACAGGCCGAAGGCAGACAAGAAGAAGTTTCGAAGGGCGAAGAGTGCCTTCCACTTTTTCATGGCCTCCGTGGACTCTGCCGGCAGGGCCAGCACAGTGAGCGAGCGCAACAAGTATGCCGCGGGCCTTTGGAAAGGCTTGAACCCAGCGGAGAAGCGTCCGTTCCTTGAGCAGCACGAGGCCGCGAAGAAGGCCCTTGCACAGGCCGGTGCGGATGCAGTGGACGACGAGCTGCTTGATGCTTCCGAGTGGGAGGAGCGTACCTCCCAGCTCGTGATTTTCCAGACGCCGCCTGGTTCCAGCATCAAGCCAGAAAGGCAGCTGGCCGCTGTCTGGGCCCCCGCCGACGGCAATCCGCTCTTGGCGCAGCACTGCGGACCATGTGCAAGGATTTACTTCCCCGTCGTCACGCTCATGTCCTGTCCACGTTGCAGAAAGTCCCTGCAGAAGGTGCAATGGGATTCTGAAAGCCAGGTGTTTCGCGTGGAAGCTTCTACAATGCTCCTGCCTGGGACCCTTGCCGACCTACCCAAGGACAACAGCGAGGCCGAGGAGCGGTATGGCAATGAAGTCATCGTGCCAAAGCATGTCAGCAAGGAGGTTAAGAAATGGACGGATCGTGGGTTCCAGTTCAGCACGGCAGCACTGACTTTGTTGTGTAAGTCCGCGGAAGAGTTTGCGTCCCTCCAGTTCGTGCGTGGCGAGCAGGCGGCAACTCACCGCAAAAAGAAAACGTTGACACTGGCAGACATGAGATTCGGTTCGCGCATATCCGATGCAGCCTGCATGGGCAAACTTCTCCGTGCACGTCAGAAGGAGGCCAGGCGAGTTCTAGACAACAAGGGTTTGCTCCCCATGGCTCTTAGAGATTATATCTTACACAGCCAAGCCGAAAGATCCAACCCTGCGGAAAGGCCAGACACGAGGAAGCCGAGCAGGCCTGCCGTTCCACAGTCTTAAGATTGAGGTGATGGTAGGAGTAGCAGTAGCAGCAATAGTGGTAGTAGCAGCAGCAGCAGTAGTACTGTAGTAATAATAATAATAATAATAATAGTAGTAGGCCCTATGAGTCGCACCAAGAATCCTCGTGCAGAGTTGCATTTCGGTTTCAGGCGAAAGCTGTTCGCAAGGTCTCACAAAAGGCCCATTGTGGATTCGTGACACTTTGTTCTGACATGAACATGACATGGGGTGTTTTCAGGCCCAGCTACCGGATGTGCCAGAGAGCCAACTCACAGTGCCCGCCTTGTCAATCCAATTTTCACGTCGACACCATGATGCCTGGTGCTGCAAGGTGCTGGAGCTCCGAGTCCGCCTGTTCAAGCTTGGCAAAAGCTTCACGGGGAGCAAGCTTGAGCTGATCCAGAGGCTGTTGGAGCCACCAGAGGACACGCATGGGATTTGAGGCGTTAGAGTTTGCTCTCGTTTCAGAGACTTTGCATCTCAGGAGCACCGAGCTGTGCTCGCCGAAAGTGCCGAGGCCAGCTACACAACGTGATGGAGTGTTCTGATTCCAAAACTTCGCAGGAAAGGCATGCAGACTGTGCCGAGCCTGGAGCGGGACAGGCCGATACGAATGGCTCGAGAGTGTTGTCGTTCTTGTCATTCCACATCATTGCACAACTTTACAGGAAGAACATGTCGATCGTAGTCTGCGGGCTGTCGCTCTGGAGAACATCAGCGCCAAAGCCTGAAGCTGCTCTTTGCTTGGACATATCGTCACGTCTCCATGAGCATCCTCAGGCCTTGGAGGCACGAGTGAGGCTCGCGTCGATGGGCCTTCCGGCCAAGGGAAGACGAGTAGATCTGGTGCACAGGCTTCGCACTGCCAATGCACTGACGTAAGCTGTGCGTGCGTTTAATTGTCGCGCCGTCCTCTGCAGCTAGAAGTCTTTAAGCTTGGCCGCCTGCAAAAGAGCAGATGGTTGTGTACGCGGTGCTGCGTCGCTGGAACGTATCAAGAGATCTGTAGTCTCCATTATTAGGGTTCAGGGTTTAGGGTTCATTGTAGTTCCCTTTTATTTGTTTTTAATAGGATCCCAACCATTCACAGTAGGCTTTCGAGAGTTTTGAGACTCTGCCTCGATTCCAGACAGTTCGTGGCAACTCGCCAGAAAAGTTGCGCGGCTGCTGGGCTGGAGCAGTGGTTGCCGGAGGTGAGCATCTACTTTTGCAGTTTATGCGTGCGTTTCTGATGTGAGCGCTCGGTTTTTTTGGGGGGAAGGGAGGTTTTGGTTTCGTGTCGCGGAAGATGTTTCTTCCTTGCCGCGGTTATTCTTTGTTCCTTGTCGTGGTTGTGGGTGGGTCCTTGTCGTGGTTCTCCTTACTGCTTCTTGGCGTGGTTAAAGCTTGCCTTCAAAGCTTAGTACTGTACAGTAGCATGGTGAATAATGTTTTTGTGATTATAGGCTATGGTTCGATGTATGGTAAATTATTATGAGGTCCCTTGGTGGACGATACGGCTGCAAGCTCGCTGGGGAAGAGCCTTTGTGGCAAGGGCCTGCGCGACGCTCCGACTGCAGAAGCACCCAACGGCGTGGTTTTTGAGAGGGGGGGGGGGGTTGGGTTTAGGGTTGAGCCCTAAATTAAAGCCTTAAACCCTAAATCACCCAAACCCCCAACCGTCTTCTGGGAATTTGGAGGTCTCCTGTATGTCGTCGGTTCACTTCCGAGAAGGTGCAGAAAGATACTGGCACAGTGCGGTCCGTCAAAAGGATAATCAGGGTTTGGGCTATCAGCATCCAAAACCCTGAACCCGTTCTGCTTTGCCAGTGTCCGGATTGTAGATCATAGGAGTCGTAATCATGGCAGTATTCAACGAGAGCAATCATAATGGTGCTAGCATGTCACGATGAGAATCCATCCACACACCTTCATGGCTTTAGTCGTGAACATTGTCACATGGCCAGTGAAACCCCTCATGCCCAAGCTTGGAAGCTCCCACAGCGCGTCATCGAACCTAGGAAAGCATTCTCTGTTTTTCTGGCACAGCCATCACAGACGCAGGCGCCCAGTTTTCGTGAGTAGGCGCAGGCGTTGCTCTGAGCATCAAGCTTGTGGCACTTGCGCGGTTCATGGGATGAGGCTTCGGGCGAGGGAGAGGATGGCAGGGTGAGGCTCGAGGGGATCAACAAAGCTAGTTTCTCGTCGGAGTGACCCTGGCCCTTGCGTGGCTGCCTGGAGAGACAGCTCTCTGTTCTTAGTACTGCATTCTGTAGATATCCCTCGCAGGTAACCTTATACCAAACTAGAGGCCGAGGATGTTTGCTTGCCAAGCCCTGCAAACTGCAAACCTTCGCTGTGATACAGAGGCTAGTATTGGCGTTCGAAAACCCCGATTCCAGACGTTAAGGCACCTAAGCTGTTCACAGGCCTCCGAAAGGCTTGTTGAACCGGCACCTATCGACACGCTTCCATCCTTCCAACAAGCTTCAAGTGTATAAGTTATATGAGGCTTCAACCTAGGGATCTTGCAATGCTGAATATAACTCGAGGTTTGGATTTGTGTTTGGGGGGCTGTAGTGAAAAGGGTTGTTGACTCTGGGAGGTGTGCTCAGGAGGTGTGTTGAAGAGTACGGCTGTCAGATTTTGTCCGCCGCTTGTGACTGCACAAGAATAGAGCCGGAAGTTGGGAAATGAACCCCTTGAGCCCGAAGCCCCATAAACCCCCAACCCCTCAAACCGAAAGCCCTTAATCCCCTGAACCCCACCCGAACGAACCCCTAGACCTTAAATCTTAAACTTAAACCCCTGCCTGCACCGCTGGATCCCCGAAAACCCTGAGGCCCAGAGATTTCCTCAGCCCTAAACCCCTAAACCTAAACCCTACACGCCTAAACCCCTAAGCCCCTAAATCCTAAACCCCTAGGCCCCTAAATCCTAAGCCCCTAAGCCCCTAAACCCCTAAGCCCCTAAACCCTAAATCCCTAAGCCCTAGAAACCCTAAACCCCCAAGCCCCTAAGCCCTGAACGATTTGCTCAGGGGTGGCCGGGCTTTGCCAGGGCCTGCGCGGCCTGCGGGAGCTCCTTGGGCCTATGGAGCCTTCGGGGCCTCTTTTTTTGTTATTATTACTATTATTATTATTATTGTTCTTACTATTATTATTACTATTACTATTATTATTATTGTTCTTACTATTATTACTATGAGTGCGATTATTAGTGCTATTATCAGTGTTGGTATTACTATTAGTGTACTATTCGTAGTGTTTCTGGACCCTAAGGAACCTACATTTTTCAGGGCTCCCTATTATGATTTCTTTATACAAGTCCTTAAATCGGTAGGTTACTTGGGGTTAAGGTGTTACTACTATTATTGCAGTTCTTACTATTACTACTATGAATGCTATTCATGCTATTTCTTTCAGCGGCCGTTTAAACGACCGGGGGGGGTCGGGCTTATGAGGGCTTCTGAGGGCTTTAGGGTTTTGGGCTTTGGGGGTTTCGGTATGATAATGAGTGGGGTGCACACTACGAAGGACCCACTATGTCAGGGTCCCGCATTTTTCTGAGACTCGCATCACATGAGGGATGACGTTGGGTGTCCGCCGTCGTGGCGGGTCGAAGCAGGACTTGGCCAAGTCCTGCTAAATACAAGAGCACTTTTCATGAGCTGCTAGGGCGGTATGATGCCTATGGGGGGCCGTACTGCCCGTACTTTGCCCAGGATGCAACGCGCGACGTTGCGCTTTCGGGGCTGCCACGGGCTCACCACGGCCTCGCTGCAGGTGCCGTTGCTTTCCTTTTCTGCCCTGGAGCTTCTTCGTCATGAAACCAGATGCAAGAAACCAGAGAAAGGATGCAAGTCAACACCTGGATTTTCAAGCAAAAATATTGCTGTAGGCTGTTGTTGATATTATGAGACGCTCATATCGGCAGTATGTCTTGAAAGAGGAGCTGGGCGAAGCAATGTCGGCTCTGCCGCTGCTGCAGAAGCTGGTGGTAGAGGAGCGCGAGTTTCTCCATGCTGCGGGGTGGTGTTGCGTGTTGTAGCTCGCAGGATTGGAATTCAAGCACCGAAACCTACTCGTGAAACTACATGAAATGGAAATTTGCGCATGCCGGTTGATCCCACTGACAGATCAGTTGTCCTGAAGCTTATCTGTTCTCCCGGCAGTGGCACTCGTGACACTCGTGTTGAGGACCATACTTCGTAAACAGGGCCATGGTATGTCGAAGTGGCAGCCCTTTACTCACCCACGGTTCAACCCTCGTGAAGGCCCATCCACAGCAGACCGCCCTCCGGAAAGCTGCCAAACAGCCCTAAACCGTCGACTCTGGACCTTGATCCCCCAACAACCGTCGAATACAGGGACCTTGATACTTGGAACAGCGCTTTTTTGGGAATACTATACCAAAAGTACAAATACGAACCCTAAGGAACACAAAGAACAATTAATTCAATCCCCTACAGAACACTCATAGGAGGCCAAAAGGGGTTTTAGCCTGTGAGGGTTTAGTAGGGATTAGGGTTCCCATGATAGGGCTAATATTAAGGAATCCCTACCCCAAGAATGTTAAACCCCCCTTTTGGGCTCCCATCAAACACTGAAGTCACACCTCAGACTGGCAAGTGCCGGCAGCTCCCAAGAAGCCACGCGCGGCGCTATGCCGGTCCATGCGAGCAGGTGCTCACGCTGCTTGCACATCATCCGTACAACAGGGGCCTAAATAACTACCAATACTATTTTGGGGGTTCCTTATTATAATCATAGTATAATGGCCCCAAAACCGGATTCTAATTATTAAGGCCCCTGTAGTAGTTTGGCTTTTGTACGGTAAGCTTTCAGATGTGCCGTCACGAGCTTTTGGTGTCTCGGCATAGTTCTGGTCGCGTGTTTTTTCTCATGAGGCCCACTTGCGGAGAGGAGTTCTTCTTTTGATGATTTCCGCGGCTGTAGTCCCAGGCTGCCACCTTGCAGGGTACCCTGATCTGCCATGAGTAAGACCCCACAAAATGCCACAAAGACTCGAGGTTTGATCTAGTCACCAGTCACGTCCTGGAATCGATCACGCTCCGGACCTGAATCACCTGGGACCTGCAGGGACCTTGGTTTTGAATCCTTGCCAACAAAACTGAGGCAGATGTTTTTTTTCTACGATTTTACGACAGGCTCCTGTGACCGTGAAGCTCCCGGGGCCCAGCTTCTGGCCCAGAGGTGCTAGCGAGCCCCGCCTTCCAGAGAGGCGCTTCGAACATCTTCCGGCGTCGGGCGCAGGGCTTTCAGGGCTGTGAGGCTTTAGGCGATGGCTCCTGTCAGCGAAGTTTGACCCAAAAACGACACACCTCCCGCGATCCGCTCTGCTGTGAGCTGTGCACCCCTGTGCCTCCCAGCCTAAGGAGCAGGCTGCAAGGCGAGTCCAGGGTTTAGGGCAGAATCAGTGTCAGTGTGCGAATTCCCATGTTCTGCCCAGTGTAGTGGTGAGTTTGGGCGCCTCAAAGACCGAAAGACGCGGATAGGATGCAGAGCATCCTTTTGGCAGGCAACATACTTCCTTCGATGCGTGGCATCGAGATAGAAGATGTGAAAGTCATGTTAACCACATTGCACATTTTCTTACGCGCATACGCGCATGGCCAGAGCGGGATGTGCAAGCCCCGGGACAGTCTTTTATCGCACCCACACACACACACAGCTGACACCTGAAATGCCCAGTCCCGATTCCTCAGACCCCCAGTCATTTTCTACATCCCAAATGCCCCGCGGCAGGAGTTCCTGACGTACCAGACCAAGTCTCAGCAACTCGGTCCAAGAAAACAGCTAGAACCAGAGCCCTCCTCCGAAATGTGTCTTCCCAAGGCCCGAAACAAGAAAGAACTCAAGGGCTGGAGAAGATGGTCTCAAGGGATAAAGTTCTTGGACTCTGGCTCTCCGCCCATCTTGCCTGAGAGCATTTCACGCCTTCCTCCAAACCTGTCCCTCCTCCAACAAGGCTCTTCGAAGAAGAGTTTTCCCAGCACCCCGGGCCTTTTGCACCGAAATCCCCTTCGGCACATCAGGATCCAAGCTGCTCGCCGAGCAGCTGTGCCTCGCAGCCCTTGGACTCCAAGGAGCGGTCCCCGTGGGGGTTTCGTAGTGTAGGGGTCTTACCTGGACCCTAAGGAACCCACCTTTTTCAGGGCTCCCTTCCTTATCGAAGTCCCTGCATTAGGTGATTTGTTGGGAGAGACCGAAAATTAGGGGCACCGGGTACCCTACTTCCCCAAACTCCCATTGCGTAAACTTCCAAACTCCCGGGCCTTACATAACAACCCCCCGTTCCGGAGACGCCTCCGACTGGGACGGCCGGCTTGTAGCCTGCGCTTTGATGATGGGCTCCCGGGCCGGAAATCATTAGATTAAGAAAAAGCGGCCTAAATCACCTGTGCTGGTCTCTCGTTGAGGAAAGTAAAGATTGCCCGGCTGACGTGAATCTGAGAACTCCAAACCCAACACCCTCCCGCGAGCATGGTCTCTGAACTTACAACTTTTGAGCGTCAACCCCTCCCTAAAGCCCCAAACTCTAAACCGACAGGCGGAGACTGTGGTGCGGTTATTCCAAGAAACCGGAGCCCTTGCAGCTGAGTTGCATTAGAAGAATCCGCCGAAGAATCAAGATTCAGACCCGCGTATGGGATAAGGTGTATGTACTATACGGGTCAGTTGTACTGGGTTTAAATAAGGTTTACTATCAGGTTTCTTACAGGGTTACTCGGAGGAAACAAGGACTCTTTGAGGGTCAGTGTACGGGTGACTGCAAGCGCTACGATGAGGAATTTGAAGATATAGAGCCGCCCAGACCAGATGAATTCGGAATGTAGAGCGAAGCAGGTGGGTGTTTTGGAGATGTGGACAACGGCCGACAGTTCCAGGCCAATAGGGGAATGGTTCCACCTATCCACAACTATTGGGAACCCCGAAAGATCAAGAAACCACATCACAGAACGCATATCATTGGTCTAACTTGCTTCCGAAGCTCCCATATGCTGCATCTCCCCTCGGGCTGAAGGCGGCCCCGAACTTCAAAGCACGATCACCGAAAATACCCCAAAGGGGGGCGCCCCGTCCTGGTTAACATGATCATGGCATACAGCTGTACTGCAATGTATCGGAGTTTGCTGACATGTAATCTAACGCTACTTTGTTTGTTTTCTGTGGGATCTGAACAATCACCTTGATCAAGGCACCAGACTCTCAGCAACATCGCCCCAGAAAGCACAACATGCTCTCAAGGCCCACAGGTCAGGAGTCCAAAGCAACCGCAATACCAAAGCTGAGAATTGGCATCTCCCCTCAGAGCTTCAAGCAGGTCTGGGGCTGTGGCTGAAAAGACCCCCAAGCCCTACAACTTCCTGAGATCTTCTACGCCGGAAACCACAACTACTAGACTTACAGTAGGCCCCAAGCCGCCCGAACACCGCAGACGTGAAGCATTGTTCTTTGTGTGCCTTAGGGGAAATCACAATAAGGAACCCTAAACAGCTAGGTTATTCAGGGTGAAAGCCATAAGTCCCCCGATCCTCCAAGTCGAGCTGGAGCTGCCGAGGAAGCCGACGACCTCTATGCGGTGCTCAGAGCACTGGAGCCAACACTTTCGCAGGACGGGGGGGGATTCCTCTTCATTGCTTACCTCAAATTGTCAAACTTTAGGTTTTTTGTAGGTTCCTATTCTAAACCCTAGTATGGAGTTTAAGGTAGGGTTGTACATGGAGGGACAGCGGTGTTGCTGCGCATGCCGTGCTGGCCACAGGGCCTCTTACTCAAGTAGATGGCTAGTCGCGGCTTGTCGGAGATGCGTCCAGGGGAGTCTGCGGCTGCCTTACAGGCGTGCGTGAAGACCGTGCTCAGAGATACTCCAGGCTGCAACTGAAAGCAGGTGTAAAACCCTGAGCCCTACACGGTCCGACCGTACCTAAACCCCAACAAAAAGCCCTTCTAGAACCCTCAACACAGGGGGGACTTATAATACCCCTTTAAAGGGCTCCTCTATCAGCTCCCCTCTTTGAGAGCAGGAGAGCTTCGAGCAACTCCAGAGGGCGGCGGAGTCCAAGGACGCGGAGCAAGTCCTACGCTCCTCGGCCTCCGGGGCAGGGCTTTCAAAGGGGCCCAGACTCAGATCTTCCAAGACTCTCTTCTCTTAGTTACCAATACTATTCCTAGGGTTCCTTATCATGACTAGAGTATAGTGGGCCCTGAAGCCCTATACTTCTTGAGGAGCTAAAATGCCAAAGAGGGGTTCCGTTTAAGAAGGATTCGAGACCTGACCCCATCTTTCCGCACTAGGCTGGCTGCTGGATGTGCAAGCTTAATTCGCTACATGGCGAAGTGAAGGGAGGATGAGCACCAGAGCGGTGGACCATGAAAGATACGCGCAGGGTTTAGCGTGGATTTACGGGTTCTGAAGGATTTTGCATGCTGTGGTTTCAGATTACGTGCGTCTTCATCGTGGTTTCAGCAAAAGTATGTGCTTTGCAGGGTTTGGGCAAGGCTGAAGGTGCAGGCTTTGGGGTGCAGGGGTTTGCAGCAGGGTGGAGGATTTTCGGACTCAGGCGTTCGCCGCGCCGTGTAGACGCCTCACAACTTTGCATGTTTGCACGGGTCGAGTCTTTGGAACCTTCGAATTCTGCTTCTGCGCTGTGCTTTTTGGTTGCTCCTGTACAGTTGCAATGAACACGAGACCAGACGTGTTGTTGGCTGTTTTGCTGCATCAGCCATTTTTACGACAAGCTCTGTCGCCTCCCCTCCATATGCTGAAGCAATACTTGCAATGAAGCAACCGGCGTGCCTCCTACTTTCGTCGGCCTTGACCTGGTGATGGGCTCAGCATTGCATCACAGAAATGAAGCTTCAACCTTTGCAGGGTAGCACTTCCTGCCAGGGTACTTTGCAATCCCGTCCAGGCCGTGAAGTTCACGCAGGCAGGGCTCAGGGCATGCCATGCCTGTGTCCCATGAGTTGAGTCTCTGAGTACCGCGCGTGAAGTCAGGAAGATCTCCAGGATCTCGCTCCGGAGAACGTTAACGAGTCACTTTCCGCGGCTCTGATCCTTCGCTCCTCCCGCGTCGCGGAGGAGGTGAGTCGGTCCCAGGATCAGGACCTGGACGCGGTGGTGTCCGCGAAGTTTTTCGACGCAATTGCTGGTGGGTTCGAAGATCTCGGCAAGAAGCTGGAAAAGGTCGGCTTGAAAGCTGGGGAAGCCGCTGGCAATGCCGCCATGGTGGTGCCCGGGCTCACGGGTTTAGGAGTAGGGCCTGAGCTTTCTTGGGAGGAGGCCAGCGGTCTCCCTTCGCAAACTGAGGTCGGGGACCATGTCATCGAAGCTGCAAAAGCCCATGTGGATTCCTTGCCACTCGACATCAAGCAGATGGCGGAGGATCTGGGCAGAACGGCCGAGGACATGGCTGATGGAATCAAGGTGCCCGGGATCGAAGAATCTACATTTGTGAAGCTTTTCGAAGCCGACATGACATCCCTTAGAAGAAGCGACGTATTGCTCTGTTGCTCTCGCCTCCGAGAGCCACTCAGAACCGCTACCTCCAAAACATGCGCCTGTCTCTCACATATGCACACGACATGGGCTGCTGAGTTCGGGGGCTTTGGGTTACCCCAGGGAAATACTGTACCATGCCACGGCCAGGACGCAGGTAAAACGCTTGAGCAGGGTGTGGTTGATCTGGCGGGCGATGCCCTGGTGCATGCAGAGGGCCTCGCCGAGCAAGGACAGATTTGAGCCCGATTAGCCTCAAGGATCTGTGCTGAAATGGCAGCTATAAGCTTTGGTGGCATGTTTGCAAGGCCCAAGGAACTATGACTTGCATTCCACGATCTTAGTTACGAGTGTCTGAGGAGACTGAAAGCTGCAGCTTTGGCGAAAACGCTCGTTTGCACGAATTGGGAATACTTATAGGCCAAGTTTACAACTTGCACAAGGGATGTGTATTCTTAACTTCCAATACCTGCAACAATTTGGTTTGTAATGTTCACTTCGTTTCAAACCCCCTTTCCCCGTCGATATCAATCAGGCCCAGGCAGGATTATTGAGGGTGGTCCGAGACCTACTATGCTCTCTGCGACTCTGGAAGGGCTTCAAGGGGGGGGTGCAATTCACTTCTGGATGTCGAGTTTCATAATCGAAGGGGTTTTTTGAAACGAAGACCGCATTACTGAGGGCTCACTCTGTCAACCTCGCCACCCGAAAGTGTCCTCAACGGCCCAAACCTTAGCAGAATTGAACCCTTGTTGAAACCGAGGCCTAAACCCTCACAGCCTCAGAGCCTGCAGGACAAATGCTGGCCACCCAAGTTGGCACAAAAATTGGCAACGACATCGCAGCAGCAGCTCATGCGGTGGGAGGCGCGTCGTCCTATGTCCTAGGTTCCCTTCAGTAACAAGATGGCCATATCTAGCATTTTCCCGGAAGTCAGCGTGATGCAGCCCTTTAGAATCCCAAGCCGCCTTAATGTGGGAGCCTTAGAATAGGGTTTGGGGGGGGTTCCTTATTGTAACTATAGTATAAGATACCCCCAAACCCCTATTCTACTTATTAAGGGCCCTACATGAGCTCTGGCTTTGCAGATTCGGTGCAAGAGCTGGAGAAGCTGGGCCCGCTTGCCATGGCTGTCGCGAAAGAAACCTGGGAGTAGCTGGGTCTTTGAAGACGGGTCTTTAGGGGTTTAGGGTTTAGGGGTTTAGGGTTTAGGGGTTTAGGGTTTAGGGGTTTAGGGTTTAGGGGTTTAGGGGTTTAGGGTTTAGGGGTTTAGGGTTTAGGGGTTTAGGGCTTTCTTTGCGTTGAAAAGGTTGGGGCCGGGGGTGAGGGGAGGGGTCTTGGGGGGGGTCTTGGGGTCTTTTTCCAAGGGCTCTGTAATAGGGATTAGCAAGACGGCCTCGGCATTCTACCATATTTTTTGATGCGAGGTTGCCATGACGTGTTGCCGTAGCCGTAGTTTGGTGCTCACCTCGGAGGCCCCGTTCTTGTGGTCGAAGGCAACAGTTCAATAAGAAAGGCTTTTGACCTGTCTGCACAATCAGCTCGATGAACCCGTGGATGCTTTCAGATAGATTATAGATGTTGCGTTGATTCATCTGTGCCGCTAACGAGATCAGAGCCCAAATGGCATCCACGCTACTCAGCCCCAGAACCGGTTTCAGCCATCCCATCCTATCCAAGTCAAATCAAGAAGTTCGTGAACTGCCTGGACAACAACGGCCTGATGTGTCCGATCTTGCTTGGCGACCGCTGCGATTGCCCTTCTGGAAGCTCTGTCAGGTTCGACGGTGGGGAGTTGGTCTTGAAGTGCATCATTGGCAAGTCTGCGGGATTTGGCATGGGTTTCGGCTTCAAGGCGAAGCCGGGACAGGCATTTGGCCCGAAGAAGCTTGGCAAGCTGCAGCTCCCCGGCGAGCTCTTCGAGGAGAAGAAGGCGGAGGTCAAGCAAGCTTTCAAAAAGCAGAAAGGTGGCTTGAAGAACAAGATGTCGTCAGCTCCCACCGGATCTTGCGAGACAAGTATAGACATGGCAATTGAGGGCCATGTGCAAAATGCTCTGACCTTTGAAATGAGCACCAACGGCCCAGAGTCGACGATCAAAGTCTCAGGCGCCATTGGCGTCTCCTTGGATGGGATGATCAAGGCCCAGGGCAGCTGCAAGCTCACAGCCGAGAAGCGCTTCCCCAAGAAGCCCAAGAAGAAGATCGTTTGCTACAAAGCTTTCTGCATCGTGATCATGGTTCAGATGGTCGCACAGCTCGAGGTCAATGGGGTCCTAACTGGCACCGTCGAGATGGGTGCGGAGGTGGCATTCGAGATCTCAGGCTCCGTCACGCTCGACAAGACCACGGGCAAAGCCACCGCAGAGTTCCAGGCTCCCTCCGTCGATCGCCAGGCCCGGCCAGGGCAAAAGGGCAAGAGGAAGCGCCGAAGAGCCCTACATTTCGAAGCCTCGCCATGAAGGACTCCTTTTGCCGCTTTCGCACTTTCCCACTCTTTCCGCTTTCGCAGGCGGCTTTCGCCATGGGGGCCAGTGCCTTCGCCTCGCTGCGCCTGGGCGCGGGACCCTTCATCGTGGCCCCTCGGATTGGAGCGAGAGCTGGAAGAGTCGAAGAGTCGGGTTTAGGGTTTCGGAGAGCTGAGATCTTTCCCGTGCCGGGCGCGCCCGTGAACTTCAACCCAATGCTCAATCTGGAGCTCCGGGCGCAAGGCGACATCAAGTATGGACCTGCCGGCCTCTTCCTGATCCAGGACCCTTCCGCTTCTTGTGCTTGCGACTACGAATGTCCATACTTATAGTGAGTCTTCCGCACTTCAAAACTTTCAAGGCTCCCGGCTCCTCCTCCTCGTGCAGTGTGTCCTTGTCCTCACTGCATCGAATGCCCCACACACACACACATAATTATGCAACACACACACATACACATATGCAACAAAAAGCACTTATTATTCAACACCACTAGCTTGCTGTTGTTAGTACTGTAACTGTTAGTAGTTGTAGGTAGGCGGAGGCAGCAGGTGGTAGTCGTCGTCGTAGTAGTAGTCGTAGGAGGGAACATACTCTGACCTTGGGTATCTCCTGTATGGCCGCTGATCCCTAGGTCAGGCTCTGCCCCCCACTCGCAGAAATATGTGCACAAAGCTGTGCACGTTTGGGGGCCCAAGTGCGCCGGCCAAACCACATAAACACCTTAAAACCCTAAACCTACCCTTCGCGAGGAGCCTGAAGCTTCGCCTCTATCAAACTTCAGCTTGGTGGCGGGGAGTGAGGCGTACCAGGATCTCTGAGTTGAGCCGTTTTGCAATCGAGAGATAGGGGGTTCTTGTCTTGACCTGATTAGGGTGCAGGTCACTTCTAGCTAGCGCTGGCCACCTGCAGGCTCTTTGCCACAGATGGCACTTTCCATGTCGTTCTTCTACTGTTGCCCAAGCTGCTTTCGTGATGCCGCATCTAGCCGCAGCTAAGACAGCCGAGATCTGTCTGCATCAACGGCCTTTTGGTTGAAAATATCCGAATCGTCGAAAGGACGCAGCTTCTTCGAAGAGCAGCTCCGACTCTTCGATGCTGAAGCTCTGCGCTGCTGCAGTCCCCAACTCAGTTCCACGAGTTTCCCCCCTGTGTTTCTCATTCGAGTTTCAGAAAACTGAAAAGACTTGAATGGTTAGTTAAATATGTCAACAGTGAACTCCCGTCACTTAGGCTTCTGACTCCCTTTACCACGACCATGTCAGTTAGCCACAACGGCTTTTCGTGAGTCCGTTAGCCGTCCGAGTCTGCCGCCTTGCTGGGGGATATACAGGTCGGAACATTCCGTAGTTGTATCCCGATACAACCTCAGTATTGCTACTGTCTTAGAGCATATCCCAGAAGCCTAGTTGAATTATGGCACCGGTACTTCCGCTGCGTCTCCTAGAGCAGCTTATGGCATCTTGACAAAGTGGAAGCCCACATGATGTCGGAATGATTAAAAATGGCGGCTTTAGGGTTCCATAGTTACCCCAAGACCTCATGCCTTAGCCGCCTTAGCCCCTATTATATGACTCTTTGCATGTTGCAGTTCGGTGGGATGGCGATTTGGGATGCTCCTCCTGCTTCTCAGACCTCATTCCGAGTTGAAGCTCCCCTGCGTTCCGAGCCGGAGGCCCTGTAGCCCCAAAAGACCTAACCTTTGAAAGGCAGTATGTATTAGAAACCATAATAAGGAACTCTCAACAAGGCCCCCAAAGTATGTAGCTTTTTATGCAAACAGGCGCTGAATATCTACATCGACACCGGCATCACAGCCTTTGGACTGCCGGTGGATTTCGACTTCAGTTACTTGGACGTCGGGCTATTGAGGTTTGAAGCTGCTACCATCCGCAGTACTGAAGTATTGTGGCGAATCTAGCCACCGATCAGGGATCCGAGTCCAGAAGCGAAAGGGGATCTTCATATGCTGCTACACATCCTTGCTTTGAATCAGGCCTACTTTGTGTGCAGCCGAGGCTTCACCCCCCGGGACATTATCAAGGAACTCATGAGCTCCTTCACGAAAGGCGCGACGATGGCGCTGCAGGCTCCGCGGTCCTTTCTGCGAAGTCTTGTCTCCGAGTTTTTTGTTTTTGGCATCTAATGATTCTAAGGCCACTCACCCTCTGCCCCAACCCTGGAAGTCAAAATGAACCGAGCTGAGCATTGGCGAAGGCTATGAATGCTGTCGCGGGTTGCGTCCCGGGTCTCGACAAAGTCAGCGAAGTTGCCACGAACGGCCTGAAGAAAGCAGCCGAAACAGCCGCCGACGCAGTCACCTCCATAATCCCGGACCTGACGCTTTGTCTTTGTAGACTCGAACAGCCTACGATTGGGTTGGGTTTGTTGAGATCCTGGGGTCTTCTCTGTCGGTCCTGGTGTCAAAGCAGCCATACGTGCAAGACATTTCGGATTTGCGGGTTTGCCGTCAAAGGTGAAAAGGGCAGTGACAGAGTCTGATTGTGGCTTCCGCTTCCAGACGCGCAGTGTTGAATTTGATAATAAGTGGGTCCCTTGCACAGGGTTTTCTGTTCAGGGCTGGGGCAGGCAATCGTGGGGTGATTGAAATCCCGGCTACTCAGCCTTCTGCGAGGAATCTCGACTTCAGCGGCAAGCCCGTCGCGCTGGCTGTGGAGAAAATCTTCTGTGTGGAAGCATACACGATCCCCGGCCGAGCATTTTTTGAAAGCCCCCAAAGCCATTGAAATTTCGAAACATCAGGCTCCTTACATGAGGGTGTGAGGTGCAACGCCTAGTTCGCTTCAGTCTGTGAAAGCCAAGGACACCCGGTTTTTCTACCTCTCCGTGCGCGCGAGAGCTTGGATGCAAGCATGTAGGCAGGCTGCCTTCATCCGACGCTGAGATTACGAGAGTTTCTGGGTTCAATTTGTTACAGAAGTTTTTGTTGCTGTATGCAGCTCTAAGATGAAATCCAGATGAAGCCCACCACTACAGCAATCCCTTCGACTCAGATTCTGCCAAAGAAAACAGCAATGCCGAGCGTGAAAAAGTTTATCGACAAGCGGCAGTTGATCCATGAGCTCGGACCTAGGGTTAGATGTCAAAAAGCTGCATCCGGTTTAATGATTTCTGCTTTGGGACTTCTTGACTGTGTTTGGGCTTGAAGGGTGCAGAGTCTATTCTCCAGGAATTACACAAAAGCATTGCCGCAGGACTGGGCGAAAACTTCATCGAGTTGGGCAACTTCCGCCTGGGAGCCATAGACAACGATCACTTCTCGATTTCCCATTGCGACAGAGCCTCAGTTTCTGTCGAGAGAGAGAGAGAGAGAAAGAGAGAAAGAGAAAAAGAGAGAGAGAGGGAGAGATTGCTTGTCGGGAACGCGGGAACGAGCTCAAGGCCCCACCGCCAGCTTTACCGCATTCGATTCCCCAAGCCCTCACAGCCCCTGAGTTTCGGCATTTGCTTTTCAACAATGCGCATTTCCGGGCAGACCGGCAACGTCGCCAACAGACAGTACAAACCTTGGAATATGGATGGACAAGGCGCCAGCTTTCGGCATTCAGGAGTCTCTTGAATGCTGTCGGGAATTTATGTGTTAGGAGCCTTGTCTGAATGGCCCTGAAGACAGTTGAAGTTTCGAGTTCGGGAGTTTGCTGGTTTCGGCATTTCATGCGCCAAACGCCGAAACCTAAGATCATGCGCCTCCTGTGACTGCCTGAGCCCCTTCATTGGAGGCGTGACCGTCGAACCTGACTGGGTGGCATGTCAGAAGAGAACCCAGGCTCCATTTTCAGTTCTCCGCAGGCGTTCTGCCTTAAGAGTTTACCAGCAAGTTCCGAGGTTCTTGTGTTTGCAGGGCTCTACAAGACGGTTCCTATAAAGTTTTTGAATATGTTATAGTAAGTAGACCATGAGACTTGGAAGTCTTTTTGCAGCCTTTTTGGTGGTTTCAGCGCTGCTTGGGAGGATTTCGGTGTGTTGGGTCGACCCCGCCTCTTCGGGACGATGTTAAGGTCCCGCTCATTGTCGGACCCCAGAATAGTACGGCACCCTTCTAAACAGGGCCTTAGTTTTTGAAAACTAATTCATTACCCACATGTGGAGCACGGATGTTGGGAATCAGTTCGAACGGCTTCCATGGCCCAACGCGAGTAAAAGGAAGCTGTATACGATGTGCGCCGGTGCCGGGCATAACACGGAAGCATCCAGCAACAACATTCCTACAGCACGAAATCAAAAATCGGCAGCACCAGATTGAAAAAAGAACAGGAACTGGTTATACTGTTCCCTTATAGTCCCGGTGTACCTGTATTCTCATCACCCGCGAGACCCTATTCCTCTACTGCTTGCTCAGGCCCTGACATCATGAAAGTCTTACGCTAACCCTGATGGAACCCGAGAAGGAACCCTCCCCCAGCTTATGAAGGCTTCTGTATTACATGATTCTATGCCTCTGGGCCGAAGTAAAGGCTCGAAGCCCAAAACCTGAAGAAAGCCAGAATAGAGTGGCGGCACGTTTAATACATCTTGCCAAGATTGTTCCTTGGAGTTCCCCATTCCTTGCGATTATGTAAGCTCTCAATACCCTTTTGTGTGTTTGGACTTCCCCCGGCCACCCTTCTGAAATGCACCTGAGGATGCAAAAGTGTCGTGGGCTGTGCGCATTTCACTTTCTGGCCGATTCTCGGACGAAGTTTGGCGGCGCGTGTTGTCCGCAAGGTGTCCAAGGCGTGTCGGGCTCATTTCCACGGGTGTGGAAATCATCATTACAAGGGTAAGTATGTTGAAGCTTTGTGATTTTCTCTAGATCGTAGCAACAGCATGCATGTTCAGCGTAGTCTCTATGGTTTCAGGATACCAAGGCTAGCCGCAACTTCTTTTCAATCTCAGGGAGGCTCCGCGCCACAGTCTGAGCGGTGGGAGGGGGGATGGATAAAAGGGGAAGGAAGAGTGGGGAACCCTTAGCCTACACAAGAAACGAACGACCCCGGCCCTGGGTGCTAGGCCCTTAAGCCCTTGCAGGGTAGGGTTGCTGGGTTCATGATGAAGGACGACCGACTACACTTGGAGAGAGAGAGAGAGGACAGAAAGTCTGGAACCAGAGGCCAAGATGTGCTATCTTTGGCGCATGGCAAAAAGAGAGGGAGGTTCCCGAAGAGCCGGCGTCACCTCTCAGGAGTGGTAACTGCCGCTTGCACAACAGCGACCTGGCCTGTCCAATATGGGAGTTTCCGAAAATAGGGGACCCTAATATAGTACTCGGATCCTTATTATAAGGACAGCAATAAGGTACCCCTAATATGAGCCAGAATGCCTTCAGATCTGAAGTTTGGACAGGGCTCAGTCTTCGATGGTTTCTATTTCCAGTTGGCTTTACGTCATGTCAGACGATCCGTGCCGCGCACTGTGCTCTTGCTCCCGTTCCATCGCATGTCGAGTTTGTCCATTACATCCCACATCACACAGCAACAGCGGTGCCCACTACGTGACGCAGACGGTAGCAGCTGGTGACAGAGGGGCTTGGACCAGAGCAAAGCCAGGAGAGAGAGAGAGAGAGAGAGCACATGCAGCCGCAGCACCATATTCGTCAATAGCATCATCATCATCATCATCATCATGGTTCGCGCGGCTTAGCATCGATGATGTGTTTTCCAGTCGCCAGTCCTAGGTGGGGCGCTCAGCCATTTTGATGCCTGGAGTGGCATCACAGGCCCGCCCAGTCATTCGCAGGCCGGGCTGGCCGGGGGGGACCTCGAAACGAAGCCTTAAGGACATGCTAAGGCTAAGACTTTCAAGCCTCCAGATACTGCCAACATTGCCACAGCCCGAACTACTCGGGGTCTTAGCGTCTCTCTTCGAAAGCTTGAGGGCCGAGCCTTCGAGCTTTCGGAAGGCTGAGTGCACGACAATTCAGATCTGGCGCGCTGACGGCACCAACCACTACGGCCCAAGAGCCGATTTCGGGGCCTGGCGCGACGTGTCCCTCAGCTGCAACGTTTGTACATATTATATAGTACATTGGTAGTATACCTTTTCTTGTATACTGTAGTACATTATAGTGTATTGCAATGTTGGGTCATGATGCGTTGCTCGAATGACCACTGGGCTTTCATCAAGTTGTAACAGTCACCCCATGCAGCCCTCAGACACGGCAACCTGCGGCCGCGGACGCCCAGCGGTCATTCTGTCGGAATCCACTTCGGCTTCGAGTTCATCCAGATCGGGCAATTCCGGCTTGGTGCTGCCGACGATACTCACTTCACGATTTCGTGCCTCGACGGCAGAAGGGAAGCAGGGACCCACTCGCGTCCTGGCACACAGATCTTTTCAGGGACAGCTCGTCTTGTGGCTTTTGTTCCGCGCTGTGTTCCCGAAACCTGGGGTTCCTGAAAGCTTTCAGCACTTGAGGGCGGGGCAAGACTTCTGTTGCAAAGCCAGGACCCCAGTTAGTCCCCTTCGCCTTTCTCCGACTGCATGCGGTGCCTCCCTTCTCACTTCTTTGCTCGTACCAAGGCACAGCAATGGCAACACCAACGAGATCTTCAGAGATGATGGCCTCGTATGTTGTCACGGATACAAGGCCCCTGTCAAGCAACCAAGCTTCAGGGCGCACCGTTTGAGGCGTCAGATTAGGTCGGTGAGACAACGCACGCAGAGCACCGTGAAAACTTATGGATGGTGTCAGTTGGTGGGTACGCTGTACGCTGCCAGAGCTTCGACTTCCCTAAGCGCCCTCCGAGGATTTCGGAACCTGGGATCGTCCTGTTGGAGCGCCTATGGGCATTACCTATGGCGACAGGCCCTGAAAGAGGGCTTCTGAGATCTTGCTCTGCTGGCAAGGGAGTCGGTCATAGCTCGTATCAGAGTCCATCCACACACCGGGGTCCCTGGTTTAGGAGGTGCCAATTCCACTAGGAACCCTGTGCCAGTTGTAACTAATTCGTACGGCATGTCTCTACCCCGGCCCGGCCCTGTTGGCAGATTCCTCCAGCTGGGCGACTTTCGGATTGCAGACGAAGAAGGCGTGAGGTTCGTCATCTCCAGCGTGGCTCAGCATTCAAGTTTCTGTTCAAGCGAGTCTCGAGTTTGCTTCGTGCCTTTGACGCAGTCGCTCAAGGTCAAGACGAAGAAGATTCTCCAGGTCTTTGACAGCAGGGACGGAAAGTTGCATCCGAACAATCACGGAGGCTACACCGCGTTCTCCAATGTCAATCGGGCACCAGCACACTACACTGTCAAGGACATCGGAGAGCCTTGGGCCATCCGAGTCGGGGAAGTCCTTCTTGAAGTCTTTTTCCGGTTCGGATGGGGTGGGGTGTCTGACAGTCATGGTCGCTTGCGGGATCCTCAAAATCAGAATCTATCTGCTTTGAAGTCTCTTCATGCTCCCTTCAGCTCTATTCACGGGGTAACCGTTGAGGGGCTGTCTCCAAGGGAAGTCCTCGTTTCACAAGGGCGTGCTAGAACTTCTAGTTTGCTGGCCCAGCGACCTTCTCTCGCAGAGATACTCTCTGCATCAGCCCAGGGTCGAACCGTGCAACAAAAACACGCTTTGCAACAACTCTGCAAGCCCACGGTTTTCCCCAGCACGGTCTAGAGTTCAACCCCTTTCAAGGAAACAGTGTGAGAATGTGAAGGTTCCGATGCATGAAGCCTCGACTCAGTTGCAGTCTGGTGTTAAGGGATCCTGCCGATATCGATCTGCACTTCTGAGGTAACCGCGTTTGGACCTTGTGATCCCGAATTTGCGGCTTTTGGAGATCGGTTCATCCAGTTAGGCAACTGGCGCATGGGGATCTTCGACGACCGTCATTTCACGATCGCTCACAAGGACGGGAGGACCCCCGAGATCTTGACATCGGACGGAGTGGTACACGCCAATTTCCCCAGCTCCATCTTTAACACCTGGAACAGGCCTCTCGGATATCCCTCGGGCATCGTCTTCGGACATCAGTTCATACAGATGGGAAACTGGCGCGTGGCGGCGATCGACGACACACATCTCAGCATCTCGCATAAAGATGGCCAGACGTCGAAGATCTACTCGTCTACGGGGCACATCACTCATGGCCCGACGACGGCGCACAATGCGTGGTCAAGGCCCATCGGAGCTGCCTCAGGTGTCACCTTCGGCGAACGATTCATACAGATCGGTAAGTTCCGAATCGGTGACGCTGATGGACTTCATCTCGCCACTACCTACCTCTCCGGCGTCCCTGGTGGAACCTCGCTCTTCCTGCATGCAAATTGGGGTTGGTGTGGCACCATCAACAAGCACCTGCACCTGGGATTGGTTGGACATGTTCCTAGAGTGCTAGAGTCCAAGAGCAGAGGTGAGCATAGGTGTGCGTCTATACGGTTATGGTATGGGCCCTCGTGCAGGTCTGAAGGCCTAACACAACATGTGCTCTCCATGAATAGGGTTGATTATGTCCTACTACAGTGCTCTACGCCTCTGAGCTTGACAATTACTAACACCTGTTTTTTGCTTCTAGGTTTCACTAACTTCCCCGATTGTTGAAGAAAATCGACAGTACCTCCATCTATCACAGCAGTGCCCGTCTCCCATGTTATTTGCTGTCTCGTGGCAGCAGGGCCGCTGAACCTGCGCAGGCTTGAACTTTCATTGGTGCATGCAGATGTGCTGCAGGTTAGGCTTGAGGAGATCGTACAACAGGACACGTAGGAGCTTGAACGCGGAAAATTGTGTTTAACTGGATCTCTCAGCTGGAAGCAGACTGGCTCAAATCAACCCTGATTTGTGCGTAACTGCAGTAGTCATTCAAAGGATCCAGTACAATTTAAGTTTGGCTTCGCTTTGCGTGCGAAGACTTTTTCAGACTATCTGTTGAGTAACCAGACATGAATATTAAAGATGAAGCGCGTGCAATTCTGACGTTCTTCCCCACCTGTGCGGCCGGAGCTCAGACTTTCGCGCCGCATCGCGTGCAAAGCCCTACCGAATACGAATGATTCTGAGCCAGCCGATCGAAGAATGAGCGTAAAAGGAGAGAAAAGCCATGTGGCGTTTTCACGCGGCATGGGAGTGCCGATGCGCGAAATTTCTTGTCAGCCACCGAGCTGAGCTGATGCCGAAATTTCAGTGCTAGGCTTTTCTCTATTTAGTGCTGGTGACACCAGTACGATCCATTGTGCGACAAGCAGGCAGAACTGCGGCACACTGCGGCTACTTTCACAAACCGCTTACGAATGTCGTGGTTGGTACCAGTAGGATCAGTATAGGAGGGTAATCAGAAATCCAAAGCCCTCAACCCCGAAAGCCTGAAAAGCAGCAGCCAAAAGGTACGGACCCACAGTCAACGCCCGCCATGCGCACTGGCACTGCGGCAGCTTGCAGGCTAACATGGGCTCCTGCCCGGGTATTGTCACAGGCCAGCCCTTACCAGATACACGTATAATGTGTGTGTGTGTGTCTATATATATATATATATATTTTTTTTCTTTATTGTTATTATATATATATATGTACACACACATGTGTGTTTACTGTTTCTTAGTTGTTGGTTTATTTCCTGTCTCTGCTGTGTGTTTGTTTGAAGAAACCGTGTTTTTTGGAGACCTGAACCCAAGAGAAGTTGGTGGTGGGAACAATACATCCGAGCGTCACAGGTGATGATTTCATGCAGATCGGGCAGTGGCGGCTTGCTGCAGATGGCGCCGCGTTCTCGGTGTCGCACATCGATGGACAGGCCCAGTTCGCAGAAACTGAGGCTTTCAGCCGTCGAGAGTCTTCTCCATGGAGGTTTGGGTTTGAGACACGTAGAAAGGACATCGTGGTTTTCGTGGGAATTGGATGGCACTGATTCCGGCTTTTCTCTCCCGGGACCCTCGCCTTGTTCGATAAGACGTACATTCGGCCAACGCCATGCATGGGAACGTGCTACTCTCGCAAGGTGCCCGTCAAGAGTGGAAAGATGGAAATCTGCAGGATGTTCTGCCTGCTTTGCTGGCTTGAACTCCTGCAAGTGTCATGACGATAAACAACTTGCCACGTACACCAGTGTTTCCAGTAGCGGGGAAGCGTGCAAACTGATGATGCTGCTTATTCTTGCCTGCGTCGTGAAAGTTTGGTGTTCTTCACATTTCTCGGGAATCTTGCTGATGGATGTCAGTACATCTGTTCCTAATTACCATTCCATAACATACTGCTGCGCGGGAAGAAGACCCCGGATGCAAGCACACCAGCCCAACCCCCAAAACCTGTTTCAAGCACTTGCCGAGGAGCTGGCACACAACACAGCAGTACGATTTACACAAAGTACAAGAGCCTATAACATGAGATAGCATAATGCAAGACAATACAATGCAATATCAAAGCATACAGTATAGTACAGCATGTATAGCAGACTGTATAGTATATCACAAACTGTTAAAGAGTATGTAACAGTGTACTATAATGTAATTTGTTCCACGATAGCATAGAGCAGTATCATGCAATGTCATGTAACATACTAAAATATGTGTTGATCTACTTATGTCATTTAATCGGAAGTAATATAACACATGTCTGGCCCGGGTTTGGAAAGAATTTCGGGGTTTTATGGGGTGTTGGGAAATTAGAGGCTAGATTGGTTGTGCTGCCTATGACACTGATGGCTCTGCAGAAACCCCAATGTCCAAAGCATCACTTAAATTTGCAATCTCTAGCACAGTGCCTGGGCGTCCCTGTGGCCTAACGACAACCAAACCCCAAAGCATCCTGCGCTAAGCAAGCCCCCTGTGGTAGTGTTTATTTTGGAGTTGAGGCTCGTAGAGTTGGAACAAAAACAGTCTTGTTTCAGCATAAAGGCCGTCCCGGTGTTGGCAAACATTTGTCAACAGCAGGATGGACCCTTTATGCTGAAACAAGACTATTTTCGTTCCAACATCAGCCCTCTCTGTCCAGAGCTAGGACGGAAGCCATGGTTTCTGGTGTTGACAAACATTTGTCCTACGCTTGACAGCTTCCGATTCCAGCAGTTTCTTGACCCCGCTCTGCTGATGTCTCCAGTTCCCATGCATTCACGACGACTTCAGCTTGAGTAGTATGGTAGTTCACTGTCCAGTCCAGCTGTGCATACTTGAAGCCCGTACTTGTAAAGGGACGTGCTGAAATGCGCATTCTGTGATTGTTGTGCCCCCTGTAGGCCGACTCATCAATTTGTGCGCTCACGCTTTTATCAAAGCGGGCGAAACATCGTGCAGCATTCCGCTCAAGCCATCTTGCTGTCATAGACAGCGGGGCGTGCACAGCAGAGAGCGCTCATGTAACCCCCGGCTCTCAGGATGGCAGAGTGCGCAGCGTGAAAAGCGTCATATGCGTGCATCGGCATTCCATTGTTCTGGAAAATCAGGCTTCGTTCCGGCGTTTGGCGCAACGGTGAAGTCTTGTACCACCTCACTGGAACGACAGTGCGGGTGTTCCATACTCCATATTCTACATGTTCGATATCGAAACCTTCCAGCGCCAGTGCGATTTACTGGCGAGCTGCACTCACAAGCGAGCGGTCCTGGACAGTGTCGTCGCATCGTTGACTCTAATCAAGAACAGCTTGTCATCTTACAACGGCCTGCCGCTCCCCGCAGTCTCCAAAGTCAGCAGTGATGAGCTGACCTATCGTGTCGTCCTCTGGGTATTTGCGCTCACAGCATGGATGCTCGCAATGAGGCGTTTTCCTCGGCATGTCATCCGTGGCCTCAACATGCTGAATCAGGCACTGTTCATGTGGATCTGGACACCTGGGGGCAGATGGTGCCGCTGCTCCGTTCATGTGCAACAGATCTTTGGAGCGATCACCATGGCGCGAAGTGCGATGTGGTTGTGTGTGAATCGAAGGAGCAAACAAGCAATGCAGATCGGGCGGATGATGCCGACCGCGATACGGGAGATCTGGTGGCCTGCTACAGCAGACGGTGCCCGCACCAGCCAGGCTGTCAACCTGTTCCTTAACATGCAATTGGCGGCTCTTCTGAAGCCAGATACGGCCAATGATTCTGCTTGGTTATATTGTTGGTGGCAACGTGGCTTCCGGTACGTGGGCATGGCACGTGCCAAGCGTGCTAACCTTTGCAAATGCGGGGGCCCCTTGAGCAGATTTGTAGAGCACATCTCTCTCCGCACCCGAGTGCACCACAGGGATGCACAGAAGCTTCGCTACCGACGTGCACGCGCCTTTGCTGGAGGATCTTTCTGGTGGCTCGTGACCTTCGTCGGCCCTACCAACCAAATTGCGGCTGCAGAACAGTTGGAAATCATGCTCCACAAGCCAATTGCCAACTGTCGACCGGATGCGGCGCCGCGCCAGCGGACCAATTTGCGTGTCCAGCGTAACAGGCCGCATCGGTGGCACCGCAGGCGTGCGAACGTCTCTGCTGGTCCGAAGCATGCGGCATGGGAAGGCTCCGTGGGAAGTTGCCAGCTGACCAAATGCATGGCACCAGTGGCAGCCGTCGACGTAGACATGGCTACCTGGTCTTTCTCGGAAGCTTACAGACATTTACAGCGCTGCTACCTGGGAGCAATGGCGATGCAGGGGCCAATGTGCATCTACAACCCGGCGCATAAGCAGCTGTTGATGATTTGGGCGGCATCGGGGCATGAAGTGGACTGGCCTCGTATGGAGCGAACTTGGAAAAGCGATTGTGGCCCGGTGACATTGGCACGCTTCTGGCACTTGGTGAAAGGCCCACAGCGCTTGCAGAAGTTGCGACGAAACCTGGACCAGGAGCTACGCAACCGTGGTCTCCCCGCCACCAGACCTGTCATTGTACCAGTTCCCGTGAAAGACATGGTCACAGCAGCGCGACGCCAATTCGCAAGCAGTCTGAGGCGGAGCTTCGCACCGTCCGTGGTCCGATGGTGCCTTTCTCAGGTGCGGTTTTCTCACGGCAAGTTCCCACGCCATCGTGATTCATGGACGCACGTCAAGGACGCCAGAAAGCTGGATTGGAACAAATTACGCGAAGTGGCACCTGGTTCCATGCATGATGCGCTTTCTGGCCAAAATATGCAGCGTATAGAACAGTCCTGGGATGTGCCATGTTTTCTGAGTGACGCAGACCTACAGAAGCGCTTTCAGAGATCTATGAGGCAAGCCTTTGCACGCGTGCCCGGGTGCATGCAGACGGAATGGCCATGCTTGCCGAGGAGCTCCTTGCAGTCATACTGCCGTCGACGGGACAAATGCTGGGCTGCTTACAAGCAGAACACTAAGGACATGAACTCGCGTCCTGGCGAGTCTGTCGTCCCGGATGATAAATGCAAGAGATTTGCATGGAAAATGCCCCAAGATGTATACCATGTGTTGCTGGCTTTCTTTGTGCTTCTGGCGGCAAACTGGCAGCTCACGACGCTGAGTGTCATTTCTGCTAACAAGGCATGCTATGACCTCGTGGTGGCGCTACTCCCACGGCATCTCCTCGGCTTTTTGGGAATGAACCGTGAGGTCCAGCTGCTCCCTTATGCATATGCGATGATCAAGGCCAAATGCTTCACGCCAGAAGGACGAACTTGCTTGACAGCTAAACACAGCTGCGTCAGAAAGATCATAAGCTATGCGGCTTGGCCGAAGAAATCTTGCTGGCGAATGGTGTCCAGGGGTCTTCAGATCGCGCTGAAACGCGGTGTTGACAATTGGCAAGTTTGGACGATACGGGACGCCCCTTCGATCCTACGTAAGCGCATTGCCAACTTGATCATTCCTTCCGATCCCTACACATGCTGCAAATGCGGCCGTAGCAAAGCCAAGCTGGAGGCCACGGTGCATGATGCTGGGCAGTTCTTCGAATGCGTCACTGTGGCCGATGCTCTACATGCTGCGCAAGAGGTTCTTGACATAACAGCTGAAAAAACTGGCTGCTTCTATGCATGTGTATTCCGGAAGCGGAAGAAAGCTGGCTTTCTATCGCCTCACGGATTTCGTTTCGCAGCTCGAAAGATGCGGTGCTTCAGTTTCCAGGAGCTCTTTTTGGTCTTCGCTGCCGCTGTCTCGATCGCATACGTGTCTGTTGGATCTCATGTGGTGCAGTTGTCAACACTTGCGATCGGTGGCATCATGTCCATGATAGCCTCAGCAATGGTCCTATGTCTTGATGAACACAGGTGGTTGCAAAATCCTGAAGCATGGATTTCATGCGGATATCTTGGGTTGTTTCCATGGGAGCGTCAAACAGCTTCTCTTCGTTATGTAGATGACCTACTTCAAGTAAGCGCGATGTACTGTGCACAATGCCTTGCACTGTTGCCGGACGCGGTTTACAAGGTCCCATTCAAGCTCGCAGAATCTGGGGTTCATGTCACATGGATCGATTTGCGAATAGATTTGGAGCCTGTGCGTATCGGAATGGCGCAGAAACCTGTAGCTATCCCACCGTCGTGGGCAGCTGAGCAAGGTTATGCCCGTTCATGGCTTTGTGGGCGTTTTGCCCGATGGCAACAAGTGGGGTTATCGCAAAAACAGATGATCGATGCGGTTACTTGCGCCTTCTGGGAGTTGTTGCAGCAAGGGTACTCGTTTCGAGTGCTCCGAGCCTTGGTGTATTCTTTCAAGCATGAGCGATGGGCAGCAGAATTTCGTGTGCTTCAGGCATGTTTCTCTGCTGTCAGTGCCCGCCGTCACTAACGTACTACGGTTACAGCCTTGGCCCGAGCAAACACCGCCTTCCGAGCATTCTGGGTGCCGCCATGTTCTTCGTGTGGCTGGGAATGCTGATAGGTTGTATGCTGATGAGGGCATCGGCAACCAACAGATTCGGAAGGAATGGTGAGCGCCACCGTCCTACAAAGCCGACGAACTCAGGAAACAGGGGCGACGATCGTCCTCGATTTGGGGAAGCGGTGCAAAGGGTAGTGTTGGACATTCGTACCAACGACGCTTCAGACCGCTCCCGCAGGAGAAGCCGTCGCAGGAAACATCGTTCCTCCCCGTCCTCTCGCTCGAGTTCGTCTTCGCGGGACAGGGCCAAGAAGGATAAGGAAGAAATTGCTCGGCTTAAGAGTCTTCTTGCAGAGAAAGAGGCCCGGGAGCAGAAGCGTGAAGCTGACTGCCAACGTGCCGACGCCGAAGCGGCCAGGAAGCGAGAGCTGGAGGAGTTCAAAGCCTCAGTGATGGCGCTGCTGCCAAAGCCAGCATCGCCACAAATCCCGGGCACCAATGCAGCGACTCAGAGTTTATTCACTGTTGAGGGTGCCAAGCGTGCAAGCTATTTTTTGCATGAGATTACGGATTTCACCGGGAGCAGCTCTTGGGAGGATGTGGAGTCTCGGCTCAAGGCGGTTTCGTGTCCGAGGCTCAAGGAAATGCTGGAGAGGAAAGGCATCGACGAGATCCCATCCTCCAAGCCAGCAGTGATCAATGCCGTGATGCGAATCCTCAAGGCTGAATTCCCCTCCGGTCAGTGACGGTCAGAGGATGGGCCACATGTCAAACTGCTTTTGGACAGATGGGCGCTTGTTGTATTCTTCCTGGCAGGTGCTCTCAGTGTTTTCCTGATGTGCGAAAGCAAACCCAGATCCTTCTTGCCGCAGTGGCTGGCGGCACCACTGGAGGTTGCGGGGGCAGTCCGCACACTGACGTACCATAGAGGGCTGGTGATGCAGATCGAAGACTGGGTGGGGATGCCCATCTTGATGTTTGGGGCTACGCTCCCTGCTTTTTTAGCTGCAGGGCTACTGGGCAGAGCTTCGCTATCAAACTTGAGATGCAGCAAGCCACTCATGATACCAAGAGCCTATGACCGCAGCCGAAAGTTGGAGGTGACCCCTACGCTTGACAGCTTCCGATTCCAGCAGTTTCTTGACCCCGCTCTGCTGATGTCTCCAGTTCCCATGCATTCACGACGACTTCAGCTTGAGTAGTATGGTAGTTCACTGTCCAGTCCAGCTGTGCATACTTGAAGCCCGTACTTGTAAAGGGACGTGCTGAAATGCGCATTCTGTGATTGTTGTGCCCCCTGTAGGCCGACTCATCAATTTGTGCGCTCACGCTTTTATCAAAGCGGGCGAAACATCGTGCAGCATTCCGCTCAAGCCATCTTGCTGTCATAGACAGCGGGGCGTGCACAGCAGAGAGCGCTCATGTAACCCCCGGCTCTCAGGATGGCAGAGTGCGCAGCGTGAAAAGCGTCATATGCGTGCATCGGCATTCCATTGTTCAATACCAGAATGGGGGTACTGCAAAACAGCGATCCTGATGTGGAGACGCATGTCCCTAGAGTTGGCATGACCGCGGCCTCGAATCAGTCTCTATATTCACTCTAGCTGTTTGTGTCTAACTGCTGTCAAAGCTTCGCAAGTGAAGTCCATGAGACTGTTACTAGCATGTCTCCAACGCCTCACCAATACCTCCCCAGCACCTCCCCCGGAACTCCCCCGGCACCCCAACACCTCCCCAGCACCTCCCCAGTACCCTCGGGATGCTGCGAGCCGTGAAAACAACTTGTATGTTGGGCACACATATGCCTTGCAATTAAACTACTATCCGGGCTCCAAACCCGACCCAGATTATGTTTAATGCAATGTGGTATCGTACTGTGTGCCACAGTATATCATAATGTCTTCATGTAGCATAGTGAAATGTGGTATGATGCACTAAAAACGAACCCGTAACAGCATAACAAAACCTGTTATAGCACAACTTACGGTACTATAACATACTCTAACATAAAGCAATACAAAGTCACATCCTACATTTTGCTAATGTGAGACAACCCAATGCCGCATATCAGAATGCAATATAGTCTAGTGTAATGCACCGCAATAGAGCAGTACGGTACAGCATGATATGACAGAACGTTGAGTGTATCGTGTCTGTGTTACTGTATATCATGTTGCACTATGTGTTGCCCCTTTATCTTTGTGGGTACCATTTGCTACCTTAGTGTATACATACATGTCGATGTAAGTATCTATCATGTCTGTTTATTTGTTAGTTGTTGTGATTCTTGTATACTGTACTATATTGTGCTATTCCATAATATGTCATGTTGTATTCTTGTGGCCGGTTGTTTGCTAAACCATGATATGTTCTGCTATTTTGTAGCATACAAACCATAACCATAGCATCCTGGAAATATTGTTTGAAAACGCCAGCCTGAAGCAAGCTTCGAACCCTCGAGCTCGGAAGAGCTCCAGACAGGCCAAGACGTTTTCGGCGGGAAGCTTGCTTCAAAGCAACGAGTCTGTCACGGCGCCTGGGTTCAAATCAGAAACGAATCGTGGAAGAGGTTCGCATAAGCATGGAGCTACATCGTCGGCCAGCTTCAGAAGCATGCCGAGTAGGTGCATTTACCAGTTGCAGACCGCTGAAATCCTAAGTTGAGAATTCAGATGATGATGCATGGTGCAGGAAGCCACGGCGAGTACGACGGCGAGTCTGCTTCAAGCCAATGGCTCGCTCATGGTGTCTTGGTTGCAGCACGCCAGGGTCGAAGATTAGCATGTCGGTGGGACGAAGGGTGTGAGTGTGTTAACTTTGTCATTAAGAATACAGCGACGGGCTCCGGACGACCCCGATGAAAAGTTTGGCCAGGCAAAAGAAGCTGGCCAAAATGCGAGCGGCCCTTGTATTTTCGAGTAAATGCACCTCTGCTCTACCGAATGCCAAAGTTTCCCGAGCCCTAAACCGTAACCCCTGTGCTAAAGCCGCCTTACAGCTGTTGCTTCGATGTCAACTCGGAGCCCGTGTTCCTCATGAGAAATGCATGTTTGAAGTTCAATCCCAACCAGTCACTCCGAGAAACACACCTAAATCGCGGAGGGCCTCGGGCCCGGAAGACCCTTCAATAGCCACCATCCTATGCGAATCAGCAATCCGCACCATGTGATTTGGTGACCCTTCCAGGTGTCCCCATTGTGCTGTGTGTTGCCCCAGTGGCACCGATGTGGGAAGGTTCATGTAAAGCCCCAGTCAAACACTTCAAGGTCGCTGGCGTGTGGAGCCGTCAACCAATGGCAGCGGCGAGCAACAAGACGCCGAGCTGATCAGGTTTTCTGGAGTTTGCAGACCTGAAACACTGAAACCCCTCTTCATGTACGGTGAACTGAAAAGCACTAAGTCCGGGAACTGGCCAAGGAGAGTTCAGTTTGGAGATCGAGTGATCCAGATTGGCCAGTGGCGGCTGGGTGACGTGGATGGGAACCATTTCAGCATCTCCCATTCAAGCTTGAAGACCCTGGTCATCTATCGATCCAACAGTGCCGATGATCCGCATCCCGTGCACTCGGGGGCTCGCGCGGATTGGGGTCTGTGGGGGGGTCCGGCCTCCAGGAACCCCCCGATGGATGAATCCATGGGTGTGAGCTTTGGCGACCGCTTCGTGCAGATCGGGAACTTCCGGCTCGGGGACGTGGATGGCAAGCACTTCTCCGTGGCACACGCCGGGACCGGCAAGACGTTGATGGTCTTCCAAAGCGACGGGAACCACGGACATCACCATTGCCCCCGCGATGACTTCACGACCTTGGGCCGATCCATGGAGCAGTGCCAGGAGCGGGACCGGGCGGTCGGACCGGAGGGAAGAGGGAGAGCTTTCCTGCAGTTCTGCTAAGTCTGCTAAGCAGGAGATGGAGCCGTGAAGTGAGCGATCCGCTGGACGCTGGGTGTTTTCGCAGCTGTTGTAGCTGCTTGCAGCGGTTGCAGAGGACTCCCTAGGAGTCTTGCTGCCTCTGCTGCACATTTAGCTTTAGCCGGTCGCCGCGTGTGGGTCAGCTACCCCTGCGACATCACGTAAATACACCAACAACGGCTTTGGAATGAACATGCGACGGTGGTCAAATGGGATATATTGCTCAAATCTGCTCAAGCTACATGCAAGAACCAAGAGGGTTGCTAGAGCTGTCGACTCATGGAGTTCCAACATCAATAGAAGCGCTCTGGCATGCTGCATGCAAGTCCTCACTTCCGGTCGTCACTCTTGGTGGGCAGTTCCGCATGTTTACGAAGTAGGAAAAGAATCTTCGGCGTAGGATCGAAACCCCACCACTGGGCAGAGCAGCTACGGGCATCAACTCGGTGGAGGTACTCTATGTCGGACCAACATAGCGGTCGGAACAGGTACAGCCATTTAAGTCCTTGTATGTCTTTCACGATTGACGACATTTTTGCAGACGATGCTTGCACTTCCTAAATCGGGGAGGTGCTCTTGACGAAGACCAGTCGTCCGTGAAACAAGCCTAGACCAAGGTATTGCCTTCTTGTGTTTCCGTTGTAAGACTTCGAATCCTGTGTGTTGGCTGCGTTTTCCTTTGCATCTTGGAGCTCAGTTAAACAGTGCGAAAAGGTCAGCAATGGGTCTTGGCTTCATGCTGCCTTCTCCTCATCTGTAGTTCGTCATCCTCCGCAGTCACTGTGCACGCTATCACGGGCTAGCGCGCAAGGACGTCGTACACAAGCTGCGGGGTCTGCAGGAGGGTTGAGGATTGCTGCACGCTTGCACGTTACGAGTCTTTCAAGCCTTCGAGTTGCTTTTCAGTGCCAGATGTGCTTCTTCGTTACGGTTATTCCTCTGCAGTTGCAGTGACTTTGAGACCAGACGTTGTGCTGGCTGCTTTGCAGTATTAGCCATTTCTCGACAAGCTCTCGCTTGTTGCTTTCCGTCGACGTACTGAAGCTATACTCGCAATGAAGCAACCGGCGTGGCTTCTACTTTCCTTGGCCGCGACGTGGTGCCGGGCTTAGAATGATAGAAGCGTATGCCAGGGGAGTTGTGCAAACTGTCCAGAGCTGCTCTGACTACCAGGGTGCCTTGGACACCCGTCACGGCAGTGAAGTTCACGCAGGCCATGCCACGCGCCCACGCGCCCTAGCGAGTTCGCATCCGTTCCCGAGCTCTGCCCTGACAAAGGACGATCTCAGTTTGGAGAACGTCAACGAGTCACTTTCCACCGCTCTGATCCTTCGCTCCTCCCGCGGCACGGAGGAGGGCAATTTTACCCGGGATCAGGACCTGGACGCGGTTGTGTCCGGCAAGATCTTCCACGACATTGGCGATGGATTCGCCAAAGTTGGCAACACGCTAAAAGCGGTTGGCATGAAAGCTGGGGAGGCCGCTGGCAACGCTGCCATCGTGGTATCTCGGCTCAAGCAGCAAGGTCAAAAGCCAGGGATGGCGGACTAAATCACGGGAGAAGCTTCTTGTGGGGCCCAGGCTCAGGGCCCTCTCCCCTGCACCGGTCCAAACTCGCAGTTCCTTGCAGAACCCAAAGAATTTCTTGGCAACCGCCAGCTCAGGTTGGGAACCACGTCATGGAAGCCGCCAAGGCCAAGTTGGACCTCTTGCCATGGGACGTGAAGCAACTGGCAAACCAGCTGGGCGGCATCGCGAAGGGCATGGCCAATGGTCTCAAGGTTCTCGGGATGGTGTCGAAACGTCATGTCCTTGTGCAATATGCCGAGAAGAGCAGTATGTAGAGAGACCCGAAAGTCTCTTGCCTTCCAAAGCTACCCCGAGCTTCGAGCACAAGGCCCCGTGGCACTGTCTTTTGTACTTCACAAGAAGACACACACACACACACCATGCACACCATGCACTCGTCTATTTCGTCCATCAAAAGCAGGCACCGGGGCCTCCAGGCCTGAAGGGAGTGAGCATTCAGTTCGTGACTGCGAGCATGTCTTAACAATGTTTACGGTATAATACTGTTACTAAGAGACCGCCTTGCTTTCCGGCTGCTTTCTGAAATGATTGCAGAGCATGCTTCTGAAACCAGCTCTCATTCATGCCCCTACACAAGCCGCTTCCAGGAGTTCGGGAAGACGCTTGAGAAGGGTGTCGTTGATCTGGCGGACGATGCTCTGAAGCATGCGCAGCACTTCGCTGAGCAAGGACAGCCTGAATTCGATGGAGCTTCCCGAACGGATTTGAGCTGGCGATCTGTAGCGCGTTGAATTCGTATACAATTAGTACAGGGACCTGAACAACTAGAATAGGGTTTTGGGGCACAGTATACAAAAGCTGCAGTCGGGGCTTTCAGGGGATATGCTACAGGCTTGCGCTTGTCAACGAATGGGACCCACTCAAACCTTTGTGTAGGCGTTTACTTCGTGTCGGTGTCACAGGACAATGCCAACTGCATAGTTGGTCCTGGCCTGAGCCGATGCTTTGGTCGAGTCTACGCCCAATCTTGTTTCGGGGACGTGCAATAAACTTCAGTGCTTGCAACTTCCAGTCATACAGAGCCCCGCGAATTCCTTCAGCCACTGGAAGCCTTAAGCCCTCCGAGCGAGTTAAGAGGAGTAATGCTGGCCACCAGAGTCGGCGACAAGATTGCCACGGAAGTCGCCAGCAAAGCCCGGTGGCTGGGAGGCACGGAAACCTTATCTTGGCTGTCGGTTTAGTCTGTGTGATATGATGAGCCACAGTTTAACTCACGCCTGCACACTGACGGAGGTCAACCTAGTTTCTCATTGAGATCAAACCCGAAAGCCGTGCATGCAAAAAGCTAAACAGCTAAACCCTAGACTAGAAGCTTCTGCCAAGCAAGCCAATACTGCAGACAAAGTGAAGACGCTGGGCCCGCTTGTCGCTGGATTGGCGTCGGCAGCCTGGGAGTTGCTCGGTTGGAGATATGTTTCGGGATTAAGGTTCAGGGTTTGAGGGTTTGGGGTGGTTTGGGGTTTAGAGTTTAGGGTCCCTATAAGTTCAGCAATTTGAGGGCCCTTGTCCCTGAACCTGCCTTCATGTGGGTATCTGGAACCTGCAGAATCCGAGGTTCGAGGAGACTTTAGGGTTCTATATACTCAGACTGCAGGGGCTCTCTGGCTCTGTCTGTGTGAGAACTAAGAAGCTCTACTAAGATTGAATGAAAGGGTTCAGACCGCTCTTCTTCAAGCATCTTCGAGCAAAGGCAAATCAAGAAGTTCGTGAACTGCCTGGACAACAACGGCCTGATGTGTCCGATCTTGATTGGAAGCCACTGCGATTGCCCCTCCGGCAGCTCCGTGAGGTTCGAGAATGGAGGATTGAACTTGAGGTGCGTCATTGGCAAGTCTGCGGGATTTGGCATGGGCTACGGCTTCAAGGCCCAATCTGGAGGGAAGTTTGGCGGGAAGAAAGCCGGCAAGCTGCAGCTTCCTGGTCAGATCTTCGAGGAGAAGAAGGCGGAGGCCAAGCAAGCTTTCAAAAAGAAGAAAGGTGGCTTGAAGAACAAGATGTCTGGAGCTCCCACCGGATCTTGCGAGACAAGTATAGACATGGCCATCGAGGGCCATGTGCAGAATGCTCTGATCATTGGCATGCACACCAACGGCCCCTTCACGACCATTGACATCTCAGGAGGTGTCGGTGTGTCCTTGGATGGAATGATCAAAGCCCAAGGCAGCTGCACCCTGACAGCCGAGAAGCGCTTTCCGAAAGTACCCAAGAAGAAGGTGATTTGCTACAAAGCTTTCTGCATCGTCATCATGCTTCAGATGGTCGCCCAGCTCGAGATAACTGGCGCCCTTACCGGCACCCTCGAGTTGGGTGCTGAGGTTGGCTTCGACATCGAGGGCAAGATCACGGTGGACAAGACCACGGGCAAAGCCACCGCAGAGTTCAAGGCCCCATCCGTCGACCGCCAGGCGAAGCGGGGAGCCTTAGCACCCTGCCTTTGCTAAGTCGTTGTGTCTGCACGTTGGTTTGACCGGAGGCGGCCTTTGCGATGGGCGCCAGCGCCTTTGCCTCCATTCGCTTGGGCGCAGGACCCTTCATCGTGGCTGCTCGGATGAGTTCTGGACGCCCGTAGCTCGATCTGCTGCAGGCGAGCTGCAGTAGCTCTCCTAAGGTCTATCCGGTCCCGGGCGTGCCCGTGAACTTCAATCCAATGCTCAACTTGGAAGTCAGGGCGCAAGGCGACATCAAGTTTGGACCTGTCGGCGTCGCCCTGATCCAGGACTCTAGCATTGACGTTGATGTCGTTCTTCATCAACAGTGCCATTATTGGTAGCATGCATGCATTGTTTGCATACCCTCGATTTATCCAGGGTCCGGAAGGGTGGCCCTGGGTACCCTTGGGAACAGGGTCCGAAAGGGTCGCCCGACCCATTCGGACCCTACCTCAGATATTAGAAAAGCAAGCCAGTTAAAACCAGATTTAACTTGCCTGCGGTAGTCCTGCGGTATCACCGCACCGAAAGAATGCCTTTTGGGGGGTGGCTGACGGGGGGGGGCACTAGGCATTGAAATACCTTGTAGACCCCCGGAGTGCCTTGTATGGGGGTCATAGAATATGAGAGAATAGGTGTGCTGGCGAGTGGTACAAAACATTTACCCTGAAAACCTAAACCCTGAAACCTATACACCAAAATCCAGAGACATCCAAAAACCTCAAAATCCAGAATCCTTGGAAGAGCCCCTGAACCCACAAACCCCTAAACCCAGAAATTCTTAACCCTTATGTCGCTTATGTCCCGCAGTAACCCAAAACCCCAAGCGCAGAAACCCTAAACCCAGAAAGCCCTTGAACCCAGATACCCACCAAGCCCCCAAACGCAGAAGCATTGTACCCAAGCGCCTGAACTCAGAAACTGAAAACCCAAAACCACTGAACAGAGGAACCGCTGAACCCAGAAACCCTAAACCCAGAATCCCAGAAACCCTGAGCCCATATCCCAGAAACCTTAAACCCAGATCCCAGAAACCCTGAGCCCATAGCCCAGAAACCCTGGCATGAACAGCCTGGCTTCAAGTGAAATCGGCTTGAAGTTGATCCTGTATGTTCGTCCTTAATCGCTACAGACCTCGCCAGGCTTGCCCGAGTGTGAGTGTCAAAACCCAGAAACCCCTTAGCAGGTCAGAAGAGAACTTTCAAACTTTCTGCCGTAGAGGGGGGGGCAGGACGTCGCAATAATTGGTCACCTTACACTGTGCAGGTGAGCTGGAGCATCAAGTTGATTTTTGGAGAGAGTGCAAACAGCACACACATGCCGACAAGTTGGACGCCTTTTTCTTGCAGCTCCTGGCTCTGCAAGTTGAGTCTTAGAACAAGTCTTAGCAAGAAGTAAAGAGCAACAAAGTGGCCCTTAACCTTTGACTTCAAATGCTCAAAGATCCAAGTCGCACATGTCCTCATGGGGAGCAGATTTGTCCTCGAAGCTCCAGGCCGATTCTTGTCAATTCTTGGCGTGATTGCGACGGGGCTTTCGTGCAAGAGCTGCACTTACGAATCATTGAGTCACTTCGTATTGATTTCCGAAAAAAAGCATATATATATATATATATATATATCTCTATATTTATTTATTTACTTATTTATTTATTTATTCATGTATTAATTTATTTATATATTTATTGATTTCTTTATTCATTTATCTATTTATACACCCAATCTAGTTTGATAACGCCGCTTGCCAGTTGACGCCGATTAGAATCCACTAGGTCCGGACCCATGCGCTCAGATTCAAGAGTCTGCAGGAGACGTAGGGTCGCCGAGTCTGCGTGTGTCACGCCCCAGAAGCTTCAAGCACCGGAACCCTGCACATGGAGACCATAGCCCTACTGGCAGTGCCTGTCGAGGCCTTGCTGCGTGCGGGATGGACGCAGGAGTCCGTGACGGCGCGCGTGCTGCACTTGAACTCGCGAGCGCAGCAAGTCTTCCTCAGATGCTCGGTCCGATCTTTTGAGCAGGGGCCATACAAGGGGCTGACGAAGTCGTATATGTTTGAATGATTACCAATACTGTTTTAGCGGTTCCGTCTTATAATTATGGTATAGTGTTGAGTATACCCCTAAAACCTGTTCTAATTTTCAGCTGGATGCGGACCTTGTTCCGTGGAAGCGAAATTCTGCAGCACACACTGGAACACTCACGCCCACAGCCTAACAGGGCCAAACACAGTCTCTCTCTCTCTCTCTTTCTCCTCCCGCCCTTTCTGTTTCTCTGGCTTTGCTACCATACCTCCCTCTCTTTGCTGTTTCCTGTTTGCTCTCGCTCTCTCTCTTCTCCCCAACCTGGCGTTCTCTTTATCAATCTCTCGGGACATGGGACACACGGGACCGTAGGCAACCTTCAGCCGTTGGTAACCTTTGGCCTTTTTGGGGTCTAGGGTTTATTTGGTGTACTCTGAGCCCTTAATAAATGAAGCCGCGAGCAAAGTTGCAATCAGGAAAGCCACTCTTTGCGACTCTGTTCTTAGACACATGTACATGGTTTCGACACAATTGACCAAATCTTCCTTCGACGATATCTCAAAGTTTCAATTCAAGTGGCGCATGAGCTTGCTGGCGTCGTTGTGGCCTACCTTCTCCAGTTGGTGAACCCTGGATATGATATTAAGGCTCTTGGGCCAAAAGTGGCCTAAAGACCATACTATATAAGGCTCTTGGGCTATTTGGCTGGGTTCAGGGTTCCAGGCCACCCGATGCACAATCCGGATCCAACAAAACTTCGCAGCAAGATCAGTAGTGCGGCTCGGAAAACATAGATCGTACTGCAGATGGCAAGAGAAAGATTCGTTGCAGATACTCGATGGCCTGATTCAGACATGGTGGAAGTGGTATCCTAAACCATAAACCCCAAACTCCAAACCCCCAAACTCAAAACCCCAACACCCCTAAATCCTGAACCGTAAACCCTAAAAACCCATACAAACCCGAAATGCTTCTATCCTCCTGGCCAAACCCACGACGCAAGGTGCCTGCAACGTCGCTGTACTCGAGGAGTGACTGCCTCGGTCTGTTCTCCTTTGGGACCCAAGCCAAGCAAAACGGCCCCCTTATTTTAGGGTGTAGCGGTTTGCTCTGCTTCATTTCGAAAGTCCAGCGAAGACTCACAAACTTTTCTCACCCTGCAGGTCTAGCCCTGACCCCAAGTGTCCAAGTACCTAATCGTCGTATACTCTCCAAAATCCGAAGCTACGTAACCACTAACCGAAAGCGGAGTACCTAATTATTGGGTCCTTCGCACCCTTGGGGTGACAAGCCGTTGAGAACCATTGAGTCCTTCTGAGCCCCTCGGCCGCCCCCAGAGACCAACGACGACCCGAAGCCGCAGAACCCAAACCAGATCACATTGACCCAAGTCGCGCACATGAAATGCCCTGTCTGCGGCAGTTTACTGCCAAGTCGGCTCTTCCAGCAAATGTTGTGCAGTCGTCCTACGCACATACTCAAGGCCGCTATGCATTTCTGAAGATTTGCCCGAAACACAAATAATTTAAGTGGAAACCTCGAAACTCGTGAATCGAGCAGGCAGAACCTTAAGCAGCATGCATGCAGATGTGAAAGGCAAGTAAAACCTAAACCGTTGAAGCAACACACACTGTAGAATAGGATTGCAAGAGTGCATGACTACAATAAAATTCCGCAGCAGTTGCAGCAAGATTTGACATCCCAAAGCCGGCCCTAAACCCTATAACCCTGCAACCCTAAACCCTCTGAGGCCGATGCCTGTTAATCATACGCCACTACCCTCTTGAGTCCTGTAAACCCTAGAAACCCCAAAAGCCTATAAATTCTTAAAGCCCTAAACCTTTGAGCCTTATTCATTAGAAGTTCCATAAACTCTATAACCCCGATTATAAACCCTCGCAAACCCCCTATATCTTCCCCTAAGGTGGCCCACGGCGGTCGAGTTGTTCGAAGATCTTTATGCACGAGGTCTGTGAGGGCACCTGCTGCTGCTATACAAAAACCGAAACTCGTGCAGCTTCAATGCTGTGAAAGTGACATGCCTGCGACGGGAGGCAATCCGGATCTGTTCTGCTGGAGTGCAGCTATAAGTAGAACGCTGCTTAAAACAGTCATTATCCAAACCGAAAGCTCCTAAACTCTGAAAGGAAACCTTGAAAGGAACCCCTGAACCCAAAAAGGAGCCCATCAAACGTCCCTAAGACCTAAGCCGTGAACCCTGAATCTAAAACCTTAGAGGCACCCTTGTCAGGAAACCCCACACGGGGCTGACATGTTGAAGGTTTGGGGTTGCAGGGTTTAAGGCTTTAGGGTCCAAGATTCTGGGGGATCCCTCGTCCTTACATTTGCGCAGGCTTCGGAGCGGTCGTTTTCATGAATTCCCAAAATCTCGGCTGGTCTGGGAATTGAACGTCATCTACTATAAGGGCCTTAAGAATTACGTATACTACTTTGGGGGTTCCTAAAAATAGTTTTAATGCAATGGGCCCCAAAACCTTACGTATTCTGATTATTAAGGTCCCTCTATTAACCTGAAACATAGAATTTGGGGGTTTATAGGGGTTTAGGGTTTGGGGTTTAGCGGTTCAGGGGGAGTCATCTCGACTGTGCAGGCCACGTGCGTGGCGCTTGCATCAAGAGCTGGATACAAAAAGCTGCCTGAGCATTGAGCATTGCAACGATGTGAACACATGCGCGTTTTCTTGACACGTCATCTTGACTGATGCGGAGGGCACTGTTTCGAAGCCTTCGTCTCCGTTTGACGTATGGTGGCCAGGGCCGCAAAGCGAATATGCTTGTATCTTTATTCACATATATGACGCCAGTTTACGATTCGCAGACAATGCTCGACTATGCATTCAAGAGTGTGTGGGGGCAGGGCAGGGCGGGTAGGGCAGGGAAGGGGGGTAGGGGGGGGGGGTGAGGCCACCTTCCCACCACCAGGAAAAGGCGGGGGCCGGGCCACCTTCCCACACCTAGGGGAGGGGGGAGGGGGGTGAGGGGGGGGGAGGCGGGCGTTTTGCGCAACGTTGCTGCAGGCCGCGTGCTGCTGCATGTCTGTGTTTTTCCGCAACGGTAGTGCTTGCAGTGCTTCTCGTGAAGCATGTGAGCTGCAGCGCTGCGAATGAGGAAGCTGTTGCTCGTCCGTTTTAGCTCCTCGCGGCGACTCGCTATTGCATCCGGGTTGTGTAGGTCGTTGTTTGACTGCGAAACGCACGCCGACGGTAACGATCAAATCTGGGTTTTTCATTTCTGGTCGCTTTT